TACTCTCCTAGCTACAGTTTGCTGAGGCAATGACACACTCAAAATTCTTTGCCATTTTTCCATTCCCAATGGATGAGCCAGCTTGATAGCATACATTTTTACCACATCACCATCCTTAAAAGGCTTTTTAGATTTCACTAGCTCAAGGCACACCTTGTAAGAGGCAGCCAGACTTGAAGTTAGTACAGCTGCAGGTTTCATCAGTATGTTTCTCTGCTTTTGAAGTTTGCTTTTCAAGTCCTTAACTAGAGCGGCAAGTGACTCTCCAGGGTACTTCTCACATTTTGCCTTGTGAAGTGTGTTGTAATGTCAACTGATATTGTACTCCTTCAACACAGCTATCACTTTCAAGTGCATGAGACATTGTGGTTATCCATTACATTCAATGAACAAGTTGTCTTCTTCCCATTTACCTTGAAATGCTTCGTTTTCTGCATTCACTTTTCTTTTATTGCTAGCAGCCATTACAGTTACTTGCTCCCTTGCAATTGAGAGAAACTGGTCAGTCCTCACTATCTGAGACTGAGTGCTACAGGAGACTGGGCTCTAGGTGTGGGTATCAGAGGAAGGGCCGGTTACGGCTACCTTTACTCTCCTGCTGCTGCAGCTCACCAGCTATCTTCCTTCACCCTCTGCTACTACACTGAAGTGCTGTTCTTTACTGCGTGTGCTGGCCGAAGACTGGCTCTACAACATTGCATCCCGTGCATGGCATGACATATCCCGTATAGTGCTTGCAAGGTCATGCTTCATGGAGGACGCCATTTTGTCTCCACACATTGATTGTGCTGCAGAGCACCATTTCACTCACTGTGCAAACGCTCTGTTCCAGACAGCTGCCGCTGCGGGAGAGGCCAGAATACTTTACAAACTATAAGAAACATTTCATCCCCCACAGGAAGTGCAGCCACCTCTGGAGTGAACTGTTGGTTTCCTAGATCACAGCAACATTCCATAGGAGATCTGGACAGGAAATGAATAATGATCCTACTGAAACCACAAGGGGGATTTTATATGCAAAGTGAATACTGAAGTTATAATTTGGCAAGAACTCTGGCATTAACACAACCTTATTTATGTGGGAAAAAAATCAAGTGGCTTTTTGGAAAAAAACAAAAAAAACCCAAGTGATTTAATTTTGGCTGAAGGACTGCACCTGTGCTTCTTGGCTACTGAAAATTTAGAAGGGCAGAAACAGGAATGCTTATGGATCAGTGTACTGAAACTTCAAGAGGGGGGTAGTGGTGAGTTTAGACTACCACATCAGACAAGGGACCAGGATAAGCACCTCCTTAAACGTTTATCCATAATGTGTAGAAAGAAAAATGTCATTGGGGATTTCAACCTGGGGGACATATGTTGGAGGTTTCATTTTTCCTCTGGTCAAATATCTTTGGAGTTTCTAAAATTATAGTTGATAATTTTCCAACACAAGAAGTATTGCAACCAACTTGGGGTAATTCCATATTCAACCTCATTCTGATGGAGAAAGTTTAATTGATTATTGAACTAAAAACTGTTGGTTACACATATGCAAGTGTTTATGATCTGATTTTATATACTATCTGCAAACAGAATATAGTATCAACCAGTAATATATACACACTTATACACATAATCTTTAAAAAAAAGCCAGTTTCCCAAAGCTGAAAACTATTATATGAGTGGGAGGAAATATTTAAACATAAAAATGTGAATCATAATTGGGAATTAATGTTTTTAGAGGCCCAAATAAGACAATTCCAGGCATGGAAGACGGCTTCTTTGGTTAAAAACAGCCTGGTGAAGAGGGGAGATGAAGACAGCAACAGAAAATAAAAAATATCTAACAAATGGAAAAATGGAGAAGCTTATAGCAATGAGTACAAATCAGTATTTAGGAAATACAGACAATTGATAAGGTAAGCTAAAGATATCAATGAAAAATCTTCAGCCAGTAGGGTTAAAAACAATAAGACATTCTTTAAAATATACCCGGAACAAATTAAATTCTAGCAATGGTATAGATCCAACTGTAGATGAGGATAATAAAATTATCAATCAGGATGCAGAAAAGGTAAAATATTCAATAAATATTTCTTTTTTGTATTAAAAAAAGCAGGATCATGTATTCAAATCTTCCAGTAATAATGAAACAATTTTGGTTTTATCACTAACGAGGGAGGATGTTAAACACCAACTATTAAACATTTTTTAAATTGGTGTGTAGAACTTATTGTTTTTGATGAGATCACAAGTTTGCCTGATGAAGGTAATTGTGTGGACATAATATACTTAAAGCTTTTGTAAGCCATTTGACATGCATGATCTTCTGAAAAAGTTAGCACTATACAAAAGTCAACGCAGCACATATTACATAGATTTAAAACTGTTTAACAGATAGATTGCAAAAGGGAAGTAGTTATTCAATGGCGGTATTTCTAGTGGGTTGCTGTAGGAATCTGTTCTTGGCCCATAATGAGGAGACAGGTCATTTACACTGACTGGCCTTGATTGTTTGGTAAGGAGGACTCATTTGAGTAACAGTCAAATGCAAGATCACAGATCTAGGAACCAAGAACAGGATGGGGGACTGTATCCTTAAAAACAGTGTCTCTGGAAAATACATAGAGGTCATGGTAGATAAATAATGGAGCATGACTTCACAGCATGCTGCTGTACTTAAAACAGCTAACACAATCCTGGGATGTATAAATGGGGAAGTATGAGTAGGAAGGTACCCTACTCTGTATAAGGGATTAGTGAGACCACTGCTGGAAAATTGTGTCCTGTTCTAGTGTTCACACTTCAAAAAGGATGTTAACAAATTGGAAATGGTTCATAAAAGAGCTATGAGAATGATTTGACATCTGGGAAACATGCCTTATGATGAGAGATAAAGCAGCTCAATCTATTTAGTTTATTCAAGAAACGTTTACAAGATGACTTGATCATGATATACAAGCTGAAACTGGACAAATTCAGACTTAAAAATAAGGTAAAAATTTTAACAGTGAGGGCAGTTAACTATTGGAACAACTACATGGAGATGTGGTGGATTCTCTATCACTTGAAGGTTTTAAAGCAAGAGTGTATATGTTCCTAAAAGATATGCTCTAGCTCAAAATACAAGTTACAGGCTTAAAGCAGGAACTACTAAATGAGGCAGAACCTCCTGTGGAGGTTAGACTAGATGTTCATAATGGTCTCTTCTGCATTAAAATCTATAGCAGCACAGTTCCAGAACATGTTGTGCTTCGACATCTATTCAGTACCAATTCAGAGGGAGGAATGGCTTACAACTAAGTAAATGCGCCACTTCCAGCAACACTGGATTTTCCCATCCACATCATGTCTCTCCTTGCCTTATGAGATCACAACCCAAGGTGATACGGCTGCATGTATGTTTGAATGCAAGAGATAAGAGAATTAATGGATTGTAGTTAAGGATGGCAACCACTAGGATTGTCTCTGCCTGAAAGGAAGAGACCGAATGAAGAGATGAGAAACATCAAAATGTAGTTTTCAAAAGAACAAGAAGTTCCTTTAAACTGTATGCTGTGAATTATGCAGAGGAGTAGGAAGAAAGGTGCTAGTTTAGCTTGTAAAGCAGAGAACAGCAGGAACAGAGCTTCCAAAATATGTAGTGCACAAGAGAAAGCCAATGGATTTAAGAATTGGAGGGTGGGAGAGGATTACAATTTAGGAACTATTTTTGTTTCCTATGCGACTTTATAGTAACATAGCCCTTTTTCCTGTTCACAAATGGTCTCTGTAAACAAAAGACCATTTTTATTAGATTGTTTGCTATTTGAAGTTATTTGATTAATGTTTTGTGCAGACTGCCCTTGCAGTAGTTTGTGTATACCTTGAAAATTTAATATTACCAGTCCAATATCTGACCAGAATTACATGTACCTAAGGTGTAGCTCAGTGGTTTGAGCATTGGCCTGCTAAACTCACGATTGTGAGTTCAATCCTTGAGGGGGCCATTTAGGGATCTGGGGAAAAATCTGTCTGGGGATTGGTCCTGCTTTGAGCAGGGGGTTCGACTAGATGACCGCCTGAGGTCCCTTCCAACCCTGATATTCTATGATTCTAAAGGTTAATGTATCTGTTACCTTATTAGATGACCTCTTTTTTATAAACTATGAATTTAATGTAGTCACAAAACTAGTTTTAGCAAATTTCAGCTGCAGGCCCAAAATTAGAGGTTTTCTTTTGGGCAAACCATTGGTACAGACAAAACTTAATTCATACAAATAGTCATGAAAAGCTAATAAAAGTGGTATGGGTCGTGATCAATGTGAAGCTTTATTTAGAAACGCCAGAAGTGTGTGGACAGTTTCTCATTTGTTCTTTTTATCGGTAATATATATATAACTTACTCAAAGGCATGCAGCCATACTACAACCATATATTTTAAGTATGACAATCACAGCACATGCTGCAACTAGTATATAATCTGGAGAAAAGCTCAAAGGTTTTCCTATAATGCTTCAACCATAGATCCGTGCTGGGAGTAGAGGACAGGGTGATGATATAAAACAAGATCAGAGCTGCCAGATCTGCTCAGACCTTCAAATTAATTGTTCTTGCTCCTTCTTTCACTTTCTTTCAGATTTCTTTTAACTCTATTTTATATGTTCAGTCCTCCTTCCCCACCCTCCCACTCCCATTTTTCGCTTATCTCTTCTGAAGGAGGGCTAGTATTCTGGTTCTGCTCACTCTGACTGCTGTACTAAGCTGGTTAAATAAGAGGCTGAGAGAAAGTGAATTACTTTAAAAGCCCTCATTAACTATTAACTGCCTTTAAATTAGTTCTTTAAAACTTGTTTAGAATATGGACCTGGAATTCCTTTATATAGACATATTTTGCAATGTCATATGACGCACTCCTAACATTTACTAGAACAGCAAAAGAATGCTGTTACCAACCAAAGCATCCATTTGGTCACGCTAATTTGCTTTGGGAATGTGTCTTAAAATCATTTTATTTTCTGTCTCACTCCTCCTTCAACTAAAACAGGAAGTTTATGCAATATTTCACCTTCCATCTCCAAGGATGCCGTTCATCAAAGACCAGGGGGCTTGATTCTCTCAAACTAGAACTACTGACCTTAAAGGAAGAGAAACAGAAGAGTGAGGAAAGACAGGAGAGGCAGAAAACAGAAGCAGGATGTGCCAACCTTAACAAAATCTTTTAGAACAAAAGAGTAGTGAATGCAACGTAAGAAAAACATCTCTGGAGGAAACCAGAGCATGAAATAAAAAACATCTACGACAGACTGTTTTGTTCATTTAATGAATTGAAATGTGATCAGTTTTTAAATATTATATATTTTTCATAGAAACTTAATTCAAAGAGAGGCAGGATGCACTGCAGTTATTGTAAGAAGCAAAAATGCATAGCATTTAGGAACTACTCCATTCAAAATCCTATTTAGTGAGTTTCTAATGATTCATGGTACTATAAGTGAACACACTAACATCCTTGGGCAGATTGTATTTAGCCTGATTTAGTTTATCATCTATAATCTAAAAGATAAATGCAATTTTTAGAGATGTAGTTTAATAAAAATACTAATGGAATTTAAGTTGGTGGAAAGTACGTAGTATAGGGAATTCTTATGGTACATTTCTTTTGAGAAGTATTTACTAGGCAGAATATATAGTAGTTTCCCACATAACTAAGTACTCTTTAAGTGATCAGGAATTCCAACAACCATGTAAAAGTGTGCAAGCTTTTGCTCACCTGATGAATAGGTACAAAAGGATGAAATTTATGGGCAACAGGTATAGCAGGAGAATAAGTAGAAGCATAGACAGGTTCCTATGGTAGGGGCAAAAGCACAGCAAGAGAATTAGAGGGGGGAAGGAAATGATTTGTCAGACAACGGAGGATAAATCAAGTGATTTGTTAAAAAAAATATATTTTTTTTTTTTGCAATTCCAACCCTAATCTTTTAGAAACATTTTCCCTACTGAAAAGTCAGTGCAAGAAAAAGTTTCACATAACAGCATGTTTACCACAGCCATTTCATGCAGTAATTAAACCAATTAGTGACAATTTGATGTGAAACTGAGCTGCACGCACAGGAGAAACATTTTTCACACTTAGATGTTTTTAATGGTCTCTGCTTTCATGATCCATTAAATTACTGAAGCATGTTTATCGCAACATGGATATTTCCACTGGAAGTGCCCTCAGCCCTTACTGGAATAAGGAACCATGTATCTTCCAGATAAAATCAAGCAAAGTTTTCTAAAACTTGAATACAAATTGGAAAGATGTCTGGGGGGAAAAACTAACACACAGCACCCAGCAAAAGCGAATTCACTACTTTAGCCAAAGTCTAGAATAACTCCTAACAGTACAGTCAGGCTTACCCAAAGCTGATTAGACACGGTATTATCATCTGTAATTCCTCCTTCTTCCTACATGTTAAAACAAACAGGAAACATTGCACAGAATGTTGGAAACGTGCAGTTCATTAGAGAGCAGCTCACTCACATTCCAGTGACTAGTACTTCAGATACAATTAGAACTATGTACATGCACATCCAGTAGATGCTATGTATACATAACTTTATCTCTTGTTACCAAAACAAGAGACAAATTATTTGTCTGGAGGCACACATGCTTTTTTATTTTTTTATTATTATTATTATTATTATTATTAAAGGGCTTACCCCATCAGGGTTTTACAAGCATCATCCTCAGAGTAATTCTGAATCATGACAACAGTAAACAAATGCTTTTAGCAATGTAACAGATTACAGTATAAGTTTGCAGGAATGTGCTATGGGAACGAAACATTTCAAACTTGATTCACTGTTTTAAAACTACTACAGCATAGTTGGGGGGGAAAATCATACACTAATCTGGGACGCTAAGTAGATTTACACTTAAAATGGCTATGACATAGGAATTTTCATTCCAGTAAAATTTTGTGCTTTTGATGCTAGAAAGCGTTTTGTGTTTTTCGTGGGAAACAACCCACCAATCCCCTGAAAACCAATGACCTATTACCCAACCTGATAGACTGATACAACAACATACTAAATCCAATCTGTTATATCTCTAAATAATTTGGATTCCGTATGTCAAGGCACTTCATCTTTTTATCAGGCTGGGAACTATGCAGACAATCTACTAGTATACAGGGTACTCTATAAATTGTATGAATAGGCTCCACAGTACACATGAAGAACTAAAAATCCTCACATCAAATTTCAACATTAAATAAACATATACAGAATACACTAGGATAGTTTATTTTAAAAAATGTTTATTTTTCTTTTTGTAAACCGTAACTCTTCCAGAGCTTATCAAGATCCTCCATTTTATCATTTCTTCTCTATGTTATTCTTTCATCTGAGGACATGAGGGCAAGTTCTTCTGGAACTGTATGTCTCTTCAAAGTTTTAAACTACACGTAAATTAGTGGAACATTTATAAGCAACTTAATTTCTGGAGTATTGGAAAGATCTGATCTGTAGGCAACTAACTGCCGATTGATAATTTAAGCATTTTGATTAAAATGTATTGACTGTACACAGTGCACCCATTCTAATTTGTGGAATTTGAATCTTACTACCTGCATGGTTTATTTTTTTTAAAGGCTTTTGACAAACTCGACAACTTATATGTTTACACACCATGCGACAATAATCAAGTCCTCTAAAGCAAGGTTAGTAAGTTGTGCCATATGCTCTTTAAAACTACATCCAAGCATGTTAATCAATAAAATTGGACAAACTAGTAGCATTGAGAAAATCCATGCCTTATTCTGAATAAGAACAAGCATGTACCATGAATGTAACTTATTCCCTGCTGTTGAGACATGATTCTAGTAAGCAAAGACTGTATTCTTTACTAGTTCAAAGCTTAGCAGTCAATACAACTCCTGTACTCTGGCAAATCCAACAACAGACAGACTGCACACGTTTTAAAAGGAGAATGCGAGCTATTCCCAACACACAGATGTTTTGTAGAGTGAAGTACTGTTTTGTGGTCTTCCGCAATCGGGACAGTTTCACTGTAACTGCCATTTTGGCTTCAAGGCCAGTTAGTAACAACATTTACAGTAGATTCTAATGGAAGACAGTAAGGTTAAAAGTGATTTCAAAACTTTACAGAGTCAGACAGTATTCTAGGGATCTGTAATACCTTTAGAAACACAAACTACTTCTAGTGAAGCTTTAAAGTTTAAATTGCTTTGTGCACCAGCATCACTGTTGTCAGTACAGTTCTAGGAATTATCAAATGCTGCAGTACAAGTAAGACTGCCACAAAGTCAGATTTTTGTACTGTGTCTTCATTCGGGCAGGCTCAGGCTTCATCAGTAGCTTGGTAGGAGTGATAAACCTTCAACATAGCGCCTGCCTATTTTGAGGCTAATACTGTGCAACTCCAGAACACTCCATTTTTCCTGGGGACAAGCTGCTAGTATGATCACATCCAGGCCTAAACACACTTCAAGGCACTTCATACTTATTTTGGCCTGGTGTTGAACTAAGTCCTAGCACTAGGAATGATGTGCTCATTGATAGCTGCTGGGGAGCCATCTGCAAGAACGTTATTTTTGGATTTACACTACCTTGGCTACTTTAAGTTCATTGGTGATTCTCTTAAATTGCTTTCATCTGGAGGATGTTACTAGTGTGACCTTAAAGGTGGTGATTTTGTAGACTGAACGGTTACACTGTGAGATCAAATTAAGTCTGCTTTATCGACCATGCAAAGCACTGCATCTTTTAAAAATAGTCTACCGGAGAAAAATACAGCCACGAATGGTTCTTTGATTCTTTTCTTAGTCTTATTGTGCTGGTAACAGATGTTTCAGACACATTCACTTATGATTCAGGTGCTCGTGGATACACAAAAAAAGTTATTTCATTAAGGACAGATTGATCACCAACCCTACCCTTACTCATATACTGCTGGGAATAGGACATATATTCTCCTATTGGCTGGGTACCTGCATTGACTAAATAATAAAAACAACATTTTTATTATTAACGAATGAGACAAAAATTCTTGACCCAACTGATAAAGAGCATATTATAAACAAGACAAAAAAAAACACTAATCTGGAGGTTACTGGTGGCCCTGGCTACCCACTAACAGCCAGGACTATATAAGGTACTCATAAAGAGAAGTACTTCATGGTATTCTAATATTTGTACTTTAACAACTAAACCTTGGTTCCATCAGAACTACTGAAAATGCTTTTCTGTGCATGAAGACAGCAAAAGGCCACCCAAAGATTTAAAAGTTCTTTCTCATTAGAAAATCCCTAAACTTAAGATCTTAAAACCATTTTATATCAAATAGCAAGAAATAATCATATAAATTAAATAGTTAAGCTGAAACCTGTTCTTGATTTTTGTGAACATGTGAAATCCAAATGTTTCAGAAATTATTTAACCTCCCTCAAAATCTTAAAAGCCCATTTACTTCTTGGTAATCTGCTGATGAAAATAACTCTGCCCAATGCTGAAAATACTAAGGCAGCAGACAGTCAACAAGACAACTTCTCATTTAAGAGCTCTTGTGACAGAGAATTTTTTTTAAAACAAACCCTGAGGCAAGTTAAGGATGGCTGTAATCCTACAAGCTGTAGCTATTAGCCAATGTTAGGCATGCTTGTCTAGTTTGATGCATCTCCAATGCAGTAGTGTTTCAAGAGGAATACTTTTTCCTATCATAGGAAGCTTTACCTTCTTCTTGAACAACTGCTCAGCTTCTTGCAGTTGTGTGCTACGCTCAGTGATGGACACTTTCCCATACTCCTGCTTTTTGTTAAGCCTGCTTTTCCAGCTTTCTTCACCGCTCTTCTTCAACAGCGCCAGCCTAAGGAGGAAAAATATGCCAACCATGTAGATTTCAACATTACCCAGGAAAGCTGTCTGCATCATTTCAAAAATGTTTTGGTCAGGACATTTTTAAGTAAGCCTCTGACTAGGCTTCTAAATGTGTTACCATTAGTCTAGGCACATGAAACTCAAAGAACACATATACAGGGCTTGTCTACACGCTGAGTTACTGCATGGCAAACCAAGGTGTGAATCTACAGGATACCAACTTGCCCTACGGACACTGCTACGGTGCAGTGAAATTCCCACAGTACAGCTTAGTACAGTAGGGCACTACGCTGCACTTCAGGACATTCGCTGTGCTGCAGCAGTGTTTACACAGGACTTTAGTGAGTGGCAAACTGACGTGCTGTAGATTCACAGGTTGGCTTGCCATGTAATTGAGCCCAAAGCCTGAAGACAAAATATCAAAGATGTTATTTGGACATTTTGTATTTTACACTTGACAATGTATTAAGGAGATTTTTATGTTCTCTGAAATGCAATAAGGAGGCAAGTTTGTCCAGCAGCCACTCAATTCCCTAGTTTTTCAATCAGTACCTGGCCTAAGACACTGGAAATTTCAAGGTAAGCACCTAGGAAATAGGGAGTGTTTCATATGTATCTTAGTGCTATCACAGTCGCATGTAAGCAATAGTAACTAGTCATATTTCAGCAGTTGCATTTAAGTTTGTCCAGCTTTAAAAGATTCAACTGCTTTGAGAGATATTCCTTAGGCCTTGTCTACACTACAGGGAAAAGTCAATCTAAGCTACGCAATTTGAGTTACATAAATAGCCTAACTCAAGTCAACATAGCTTAGATCTACTTACCGCGGGAGTCCACACTTCACGATGTCAACGGGAGATGCTCTCCTGTCGACCCCCCTTACTGTTCTCCATCCAGTGGAGTACAGAGTTGACAGGAGAGTGATCTGCGGTCGATTTAGCAGGTCTTCACTAGACCCGCTAAATCGACCACTGATGCATCGATCACTGCGCATCGATCCTCTGTTAAGTGTAGACAAGCCCTTACATTTAAAATGGAGAACACCAGCAGAACCAGTTTTCTTTCAAACTACTATATTTACTTGTGAGCAACCACCTCTGGCTGAAGTATGAAGAGGTGCTGACTGTCACTGGAGGGCATAGGGTCTAGCTCTATTCTACTGGAAGGGGAACTGAATAGGGGGATCTCTGAAGATACTAGGGGACAATGAGAAGTAAAAAGGAGGGGAAAATATGGGAAAATCCCAGATTTCTACCCTAGCTCACCAAAAGTACATTAACGTGAAGTTTGTAGCTTTCAGAAAGTAAGGATTTTATGGGACATTAAAAATACGCCATCAGTTGTGCTTATCCAAGTGCCAGGACTTGCCTTCCCCCCGGCTCCCTTCCTTCAGCACCCACTAAGTAAGTTTGGCTTTACAGATCCTTCACATGAAGGACATGCTGTTACAAATGAAGAATACAGAGGGCTCCTGATCATGTTACAGCAAGTTCAGCAGTTTAAACTTTTATTGTCTAATTTGAACCATAAAATGTGGTGGCTTGTTGGTTTTTAAAATGAGATGATTACTGTTACTCCCCACATCAAACTTGCCTTCCAACTACGCAGGGAAGGAAGGAAAAAGTCTAAGAATAACTGCATCGAGAGAGGAATCATTCCCACTGAAGTAGAAAACTATGCCACATATTTAGGTGCCTGAAAATGCATTTAGGAACCAAACTTTAGGTTCCTGCTTCTGAAAACCTTGACTTGAGTGTCCAGACTCGAGGGTCCATATTATTATCTGTATGACCACAGCACCTAGGAGATGTAGTCAAGGACACCATCATGCTAGGTGCTGTACAGACATAGGACAGTCCTTATGTTTTATTTCAACACAATGTCATTGGGTTTTGACAATGAGCTTATAAACACTCCTATTTCCACACAGATGCTTAAATGTTATCCCATACAGCAGTTTCCTAAATCAAAATGAACAAACTGAAGCCACGTACACATTTCTAAAGGAAAGGCCAACACTTTTTACACACAGATTCTACTGCCAAATTCTCAATATTCTGCTTATTAAAACAGATTGCTCCAGATCAAAAAGCACATGATTACTGTACAGTACAAAATAGTCATAATTTTCTACTGTAATTGTGTTGCAAATAAAAGTAGAACCTGAGAAAATTCATTAAATACACTAGCACAAAAGGTACCTAAAATATGCATTTAGAGTTACTTGCTTCCTTAATTATTTCTTGTCACTCAGTTGGCACTTTTAAAATTAGATTACCATGTTCTCTTTGTGGTAACTGTGATTCACCGTTGTCTGCTTTACAAGTCTAGTGTCAGACAGATGAGCTGCATGTTTTCACTTTTAGTTGTTTGACAAGTAAAGAATCTGGTCATTAGCACATATGTAGCTTTTAAAAAACAATCCCAAATAAATGATCCTGTGTACACTATGACCTTGTAAAGGAGTATATGCAGAGATCACTTCAAAAAAGAGAAACCTAATTACCGTTCTTTAATTGACAGTGTTTTGCTGGGTGCATCCAGGGTGTCCTCAGTTGTTTCTGTTTTGTCGTCTCCAGCAGCAAACAGCTCACAGGGGTTCTTATAGAATTTTTCCTCTAGTTGTTCAGAAGCCTCCTGCTGTCTATAGGATACCACCGTTACTGCCTGTGTTGCCATCGTGCCAAGTTCAGAAGTAGGCTCAACATGGTCTGCGTATTGAGAAGTGCAGAATTAGCACTTACTGCTGTAACCAAACATTTCTTATATTATTAACCAGGAACCAGGCGATTTGCTATTTATCATTCAGATCATACATTACCTTAACTGGCAAGAATTTTCTAGCTAAATTATTTTACTAGAATTAAGAATTCAAAAAGAACCATGATCCCAGGGGTAGTGTGCTCACTATAAAATCTCAACCTTGCACTGACTAAAAAGGGCTGTAAGGTCCCCTTCATTTGAAGAAAACAGAACTCATGCTCCAGCTCCCATATCAAGAGAAACGGGAGGAGAAAGAAGGGACCAAGATGGGAAAGGAAGAGAGAAAACCAAGGAAGTGGAAGATGCAACGGTAGGGAGGCAGGGGGAACAAGAAAGGGGAGAGAAAATGAATTGTAGGTAAGTGGATATGGAGTGAAAGTGCATATTAGGACATCTGTAAGAAAAAGAGGGGTTTTACAAAAGAATGCATCAACAAAATAGCTGGGGGAAAAAATCTCTTTACAACCCAGTACTGAAGAACCACCCATTAGGATGATATGGAGTACCTTCCTTTTCTTTTTGAAAACTTGACAGGCACGCTATAGCTCTGAGGTACAAAGGAACAGGAATAATTGCTCCTATTCTAGTGCTCTCTCTTCCCAATACAGTCTGGGAAATTAACTGTGCAGAATGCATGCTGGGTGTGAATAGTAAAGAGGCCCTTCCGGCATTTTTGTTTTCGGAGATGAGTTTCATTTATACTGAAGTTAAAGAACAAATTCAGAGAGAAGACAACACATTAACAATGCAGGGGCCAAATTTTCCCCATTAACAGAAGCAAATCGATTTAATCTAAGAATCTCCTACAATTCAAACACAATAGTAATTACACAAAATCTGCCTATATTAGAGTGTTATTGATTGCATTGATCATGTGCCAAGAAGCCATTTAAGTAGGGACAGGCAAACTTATTTTATCTAATACTGAATCCACACAAACATCATCGGTTTAAAAGTTCTACTACTTTGAATACGACTGGTTTTACATATCACTTTGAAGAGACAAGAGGAGCGGGGCAAGAGAAAATGTAAGGAAAATAAGTTATGTTTGCATATTGTACTTTGTATACGTAAAGGGGAAATTTAGAAAAAGATTTGTCAAGGTGGGAAACTGTTTCTGTCCTTGTCTCATTTAAATTAAGATAGTTAAAAGCAACATTTTTCTTCTGCATAGTACAGTTTCAAAGTTGTATTAACTCTATGCTCAGTTGTAAACTTTTGAAAGAACAACCATAACGTTTTGTTCAGAGTGATGAACATTTCAGAGTTAGGAACAACCTTCATTCCCAAGGTGTTCATAACGCTGAGGTTCTACTGTATGTACAGATATTGAACATAAGTCACCATTTTGGGATTGCTTAGCTGTTTGCTGGGGGTGGGGAGGAAGGGGTTCTACCCCCAATACAAAGCACTATTTTTTCCTCACTAAGAGAAAGCCTTATTTGATTACTAAAATCACCTCTGAAGACCAATGAGTTTTAGAAGTTTTTTTTTTAAAAGAAAAGGGGGCGTGGGTGCTGAAACTAAAGAAACCCAGATGGTTGCCAAAAGCTCAAACTCCACAATATTTGTTCATCACTTTTTTTTAAAAAAGGCTTAAAGATAAACAACTAATTTTCTATTTTCGTAAATGATCACACTAGGAGGCTAGAAAAAGCTCCAGGTTATGTCAGACATCCACAATGAAAGCAACTATTTACTGTACCTCTCAGCAAGGTCTTGCTTTTCAAGACACTCTCCAACTCCATCTTTTCCTCCAAGAACAGTCCTTCTTTGACTTCCTGTTTACCCTGCAGGACAGTATCAAAAACAAATTCCTTCTGTTCCGCAGGCTGTAAAAGTCCTTGTTGGGTAAACAATTCCATACTGCTCTTTCTTGGGAAAGTGTATTTTGTCTCTTTGTGGTAGTCCTCTGTTTTACTAAGAACAGGATGTGTGGTTACTTCTTCAAAAGAACTGTACTTTTTGACATCATTATCTTCATATGCTAAGAATCTGTTTGTCTCTCCCTCTTCATGCTCCCTCGATGCTCGTTTGCTTTCCATTACTTCCACTGACGGCTGCCAATGTTCTGATTTCAGTATGCCTTTTACTGGAGTGTCTGCATTTTCTACTGAAGAGTGGACTCTCAAATCTGGTTTACTGGTAGCACTTACACTTTCATCAACTGTTGACTTCGCACGCAGATCCCCAGCATACATTGGAGAAATCACAGACGCCATAGTTGACACTGATGTTACAACAGTAGGTGACAAGGGAGTAATTTTTCCACTTTCATTTTGTACCTATACATAATAAAACCATTACTGAAAAAAGTGTGACCTAAACAAAGCTCGAATAGTAATTCACAAGTACAGGTTTATAAGCAGCTTATAAGTTCTAAAGGGCAAGGAATGTGTGCCTGTGCAAGTGTATGGTTCTATCTAAATATATAGTGGGAACAGATGATGAAGGCATGAATCGTGTCCTTACAATTTGGCTTGGGGACATAATACATAATAGCACGTAAACAAGAAACAACTCCATAGGTGATCAAAATGCTAGCATCTTCAGTAGCATGCTGTTTCTCTTCCCCTCATAATTGAGGAAAAAACACACGTCTTTCTCCATGCAAGTGACCACAAGACACTGACATGAGACCATTATTGGAAAACGTTTGGAACATCAAAGTTTGCCTTTTGTTAGTCCCCTGTGCTACAAATCAGTGTGTTTGCATCTTCAGTAATATAAAGGTTGAACCCTCCTTCCCCCCCTTGCAAATACTTAATTTGTTCTGAAAACTGTTACATGACTTGGCCTTTATAACATGGCATGTTCTCGATCTTTTCTATCATCTAGTTTGTTATACTATTGTTTGAGAGACTAAACATTCCATGTGAAACTGAAATAAAAGGGCTTAATTGTGTCTGCCCAGAAGAGAATAAAGCTGCACAGGAGCTGACACAAGTCACTTTTATATGAAGGACATTAGTCATTTCAGGTCCGGCACTAGACCTATTAAGTGTACAGTATGCAAAGGGAGTTGTCTGGCTCCACGCAGAAGGAAGAAACTGCCTTTAAAAATGTAAAATGCTTGAGCAAATTCCATAATGCCACAGAAGAAGTGGAACCCTGAGTGAGATGATTTTAGATTAAACCAGGGGTAGGCAACCTATGGCATGCATGCCGAAGGCGGCACGCGAGCTGATTTTCAGTGGCATTCACACTGCCCAGGTCCTGGCCATCAGTCTGGGGGGCTCTGCATTTTAATTTAATTTTAAATGAAGCTTCTTAAACATTTTAAAAACCTTATTTACTTTACATACAACAATAGTTTAGTTATATATTATAGACTTATAGAAAGAGACCTTCTAAAAACGTTAAAATGTATTACTGGCACGCCACTTCTGAAAGGTTGCCGACCCCTGGATTAAACCAAAATGGAAAGCAAAGCTGATGTCACTGAACTTTCTCGGAGACTCCCAGAGAAAGGAAGAGGTTCACAGGTTCTCAAAAGCCAAACTATGCAGCGAGTCACCAGATATAGAGGTTGAGGAGAACAACAAGACGGGGCTTTGAGCTTTAATTGGTAGATCTTAACTACTTTGTAATTAGGTTCTCTTATGCAGCAGATTTTATTTTAGCTCCTTTTTTAGTAATGCATATGCAGCGCTTATTTTGCACAATCTTCTCTGTTGTGTGTTTTGCCCTAGTACAACTAAATCCTACTCCCTCCCATCTACACAGTTCACTACTGGCTCATCTGTTCAAAAGGTATTTACACCATAGTGTGTTCATTACAGGTAAATGTGTTAGTCCTCCTTAGCTGGGATAAAGACGAGACCAAAGATCACAGCCCCAGTGCCTAAAGAGTTTCCATGTTTTAAGATCAAGTTCAGCAAGCAAAAAGTTTTGCAGATTATAATACACGGCCATCACAGACTTCCCTCCCACATGCTCCAGTCCCATTTCTATTCCTCAGATTCCCACGCCATCACTGTCAGCAAAGGTGTCAGGCGGCTCTGTATTCACATGGTGGGTCTATAACATGAATGGAAGTGGAATTCAAGCACTCAGCAGGGAAGTCTGACAGCCTGTTTTAAAAGCTCTCAAATTTTTGCGGTTAGTGAAAGTGTGGATAAATGAGTGAACATGGCCATTTTGTGAAGTGAGAAAAGGGGGCGTGATCAGTGAGGAAAGGGTGTAGACTTCTTAACAATCACCATGCTGTCCAAGAATCAAGAACAAGCACCTTATTTAAACTCAAATTGATGTAAAATACCTAGAAATGTACCTTGCACCCTTGAGTAGCCTGACACCTTCAAGTGATTTCATTCTCAATGTGGTAATACTAAGCGGGTGACATTTCTGCTGCCTTTCCTGCTAGCCTTCCTGGACTGCAGTGTGGCCATTCTGTACTCAAACCTCTGCAGTAAAGGGAGTTCCTCTGCAATTCAGTGGCTGGTATAAGGTCCAAGGCAGAAAATGTCCATTGCACAGCAGACAAACACCACTGCACAAATCACCTCAGTACACAGTTTAATTTGCCATTGCAGGAGTGATCAGAGTTGATGAACACTCTGCCTTTGAAGATCTTATCAACATCTCCATATAGAGAAAAAATGCAGAAACCACCAAGAATAGTGTCCCAACAAATAAGAGGAACACACACTGGCTGCAAAGGAGTGTAGAAAACATTAATAAAGAAATGTGCATAAACAAGGGCTCCAACGAGCTCTCAACAAATTTTAGGCACATTGTGCTTCAGGGTTTGCTTCAATTCAGCCTGGAAAATTGTTCTGACATGATGGGCTTAGTCTAATAGAACATCTTTTCTTGTTTGCACTATGAAAGGTACAACAATGTATGAATTTTCAGGCCAGCAAGAGCTGCTATTCTTAAATTGCCAGTTAAAAGAATACAACTAGATTAAGAGTTTACAGGATGTTATTCCCTTGTGCCAGGAGCTTGCTTCCTGACAAGCTTTTTCCTGTAAGCAGAAGTACACGCCATAACCTCTGTTGTCAGTCATAGCTGACCTCTGCTCACAACTATTAAGGAAGCTCACATTGAAATTGAACTTAGCCTGTTTTATAGTGAAAAGTTAAAGTTGGAAGTACCTGCTCAACTTCTCCAAGCGTGACGGGCTGTGTCTGGTAACGAGCATTCATTCTCCTATGTCTAATGTCCCCTCTGCTCCGTGTAGAGATGGTCTTCGATACTGGTTGAGCCAATTTATTAAACAAGGCCATCTTTTCTGCTAAGCTTAGGGTGGAGGAGTCTGGCTCGCCAGACTGATCTTGCTTGACTGCTTCTTTGATTTCTTCTTTAGCTAAAGTCTTTTGGTGCGCTGATGCCTGTAAACTGAGACAGTAGAACTAAAAATTAATTAAAAAAACTCTTTGTAGGAGTTTATGGTTTAACATTTTAACTTGATATAAAGCCAAGAGAACTGCACACAAAGCATAACAGCCAATATAAAACAGTGTGTAAAACATTGGCATCACGCATTTTGATTAAACAGCTGCAGACTTAAAAAAATTAAGAGTTAATTTCTTTATAGATTGGCTGGGGCAAAACATCTTGTTTAAAGGCAACACAAGAGTTGCAGTTTACACTTCAAAAAGTATACTTATTTCACTGAAGATTATAGGTTACCTTTATACAACTAGATAGGACTGCAATTTCTGCACACTTAGAATTTGAGCTAATATAGATCTCTAGAACTCTGCTTTGGTAATTTTGAGTGGAATTATGTATAGTAATTTTGAAGTCCATTGCAGTACTTTAATGGCAATTTGATCAACATTGACAGCATATAGGTTTATGTTTGTTCATATAGGCATAATTGTACTCGTCTCTGTATACCTCATTCCACTGAAACTAGTTACAGATCAAAGTTCTAAAGTGCTTTGATATTTAATTATTTTTCTATAATGTATTCTGTAAATACAGCTTGTATTTACAGAATACAACAAAAAATCATTCTATGAACTAAATGCAATTATAGCAAACAGGAATTTATGCTTACACCTATAGATGGTGCAATTTCTTATCCTTCCATTAATTCTGCAAGCTAAAAATATATATTGAGAAAGACAAATAGGGATGTACTACTTGTGAAATCAGACACCACTAGCTTTGGTATTTTCATTTTAGAGACACAATGCACTTAAAAAAAAAAAATTAAAAAGCAAGGAGGGGTTTTGCTAGGATTTCAACATGCAAGTTCATGTCTTCCATATAGGAAACATGTATGCTCTAGAACAAATAGTTAACTGTGGTTAGAAAGTTCCTAAGTCAAATGCTTAACAAGCAAAAAGATTTAATGTTTTACCATGCAGAAAACTAAATGAAGTTACATGTATCTTTAAAACATTCTTAAAATAAATGTCATTGACTTGTTTGACACATTGATAAGGCATTCAAGGATTGTAAGATGCATCTGCTATCTAGGACCCTTGTGTTCCATGTAACATGCAGGTTTCCCCCCCGCCCCCAGTACCTGGTAGGTTGTACAGTGCTCTTAACTACAGTGGGACTAGGTATTCTTGTCACTACAGTGTGGGTATTCACAGTACGTGAAGCAGGGGTAGGTTCACTTTAAAAAGAATTGCCAAGGGAGGGAAAATTCACAAGGAGAGAGAAGAAAAAAGCATTAAGAAAAGCATTGTATGAAGTGTTAACAGAAAAGACAATATCAAACAGCAATGTTTAACAACTACAAGTTATCTGCTGTGATCTTTTGCAAAATAATGCCAGGAACTAAAACCTTAAGACACAGATTCTCTCTCTAGAGTTTGCTGGTTTCTCATAAGATAAACCAGTTTTCAAATTCTAGTAATTAGCTATGTGCATGTATTCTTTTCTGACAACTGGCTTGCTCTTGCATTTTTCAGAGGGGTTACAGGATGCGTGAATAGAGAGGATAAGAAATTTATTTTCAAAACATACATGCGAGATTTATTGAGTTTGCAGGTTTTCTCCAATACAAATATGCTCCATAACATATTGTGTGGACCTCCTCAAGGCAGAAATCTGTTTCACTTGGCTTACAAACCAATGTTGTAATTAATTTTGCCCCTCAAATATATTACTTCTCAAGCCTTTCGCCAGATTATAGTTCATGCGTTTTATGCTGCTCTGCAACCCCTGCCCCCCAAAACACTCTCTATGTGGCCACTCCCCATACGTTTCTCAAGGAAGTTGGTTCCTAACAACCTTTTTCCTGACTACCAAGCTGTAAACACCACATGTATGAAATTTAATCTCTGAACTAATGCCAAGGCTAACACATAAATGGAACTTACGTAGCCGCAATGACCACCTCTTCGGTAGTAACTGGTTGGGTGCGTGACCTATCCTGCATACGCCGCAATCTTCTCTCTATTGCTGAATTTCTTGAACGTGGTTTAGGAATATTTTTTCCTTCAAATGATTTTTCCATTTCCTAGGATCAGATACATGTCAGTATCAATAACTCAGAGGAAGAAATTACTGAAGCAAATGTTTGTTTGGCTTTCCTTGATGCCAGGTGTCAAGTTTTTTGGATGGACTTCTCTGAATTGGCAGTAAGATGTACTATGACAACCAGTACCATGAGATAAAAATACATACACCAGATTACATATAGTGTCCTGAGAACTATGTAAACAATATGTCTAGCACTCATAAGGGGAGAACAGGGCATTGACCTGTATTGGGATACGAATGCTAATACGGCTACAGATTAAGCATACTAAGGTAGCATTATGGTTTTTGACGTTACCCTTCTGCAAAAATATTTCTGTTGAGAAAACATGACATTTACCCTGAAAAGCAGCCTCTTTGCAGCAACACTCAGCTTGGCTCGTTCATCCAGTTTTTCTTCATCTACAGAAATCAAACAACATGATATAGCAGGAATCTGAAATGTTACACTCTAAACGTGAGTGTTTCAGAGACCAAGTCAAGAAATCCTTTTAACTTCAAGAACAAGCTTATTTAATAGCATTGGAATCACCAAAAGAATGACCAACAGTAAAATGTAAGAGCAAGTTAGTGTCTGTTTAGCTCAACAAAAGTAACGTGACCATGCATATGCATGAATTAGTGTAAAATTGACTTTTAAAATCAGAATCATTCTTAGGTGCAGCATATTATAACATGATTTAAGAATGGAAAATGATTTTTCTTCTGGACAGTTACTTTATGTACTAGCATTAATTTGATATGTCATTCCAATAAGCGTATAAAATAAAATCAAAATTATATTGGCTCATGTTTAGATTTTGTATTAAGCCCTGGTCATGCATCAGGAGAACACTGCTAGACAGAAGGACCAGTAATCATTTTAAGGCTCAATATCTCACCTCACTGTGGCCTAGAAACAAATGCTTTATACTAGGGCTGTCGATTAATTACATCACAGTTAACTCACGTGATTAACTCAAAAAAATGAATCGTGATTAAAAAACTGAATCGCAATTAATTGCACTGTTAAACAATAGAATACCAATTGAAACGTATTAAATATCTTTGGATATTTTTCTATTTTTCAAATATACTGATTGCTATTACAGCATGGAACACAAAGTGTACAGTGCTCACTTTATATTATTTTTGATTCAAATATGTGCACTGTAAAAATGATAAACAAAAGAAATAGTATTTTTCAATGTACCTCATACAAGTACTGTAGTGCAATCTCTTTATCATGAGAGTGTAACTTACAAATATAGACTTTTTTTATTACATAACTGCACTCAAAAACAAAACAATGTAAAACTTTAGAGCCTACAAGTCCACTCAGTCCTACTTCTTGTTCAGCCAATCGCTAAGACAAACAAGTTTGTTTACATCTATGGGAGATAATGCTGCCCGATTCTTATTTACAATGTCACCTGAGAACAGCATTCGCATGGCACTTTTGTAGTCAGCGTTGCAAGGTATTTATGTGCCAGATATGCTAAACATTCATATGCCCCTTCATGCTTCTGCCACCATTCCAGAGCACATGCTTCCATGCTGATAACACATAAATTTAATTGATGCTCATTAAAAAAATAGTGACTGAACTCGTTGGGGGAGAATTGTACGTCTCCTGTTCTGTTTTACCCACATTCTGTCATATGTTTCATGTTATAGCAGTCTCAGATGATGACATAGCACATGTTTGTTTTATGAACACTTTCACTGCAGATTTGACAAAACGTAAAGAAGGTACCAATGTGAGATTTCTAAAAATATCTACAGCACTTGACGCAAGGTTTAAGAACCTGAAGTGCTGTCCAAAATCTGAGTGGGACAAGGTGTGGAGGTTTCAGAAGTCTTAAAAGAACAACACTCCAATGTGGAAACTAAAGAACCCGAACCACTAAAAATGAAAATCAACCCTCTGCTGGTGGAATCTGAAGCAGATGATGAAAGTGAACATGCATCAGTCCGCACTGCTTTAGATCGTTATCGAGCAGAACCCATCAGCAGCATTTACACATGTCCTCTGGAATAGTGTTTGAAGCATGAAGGGGCATATGAATCTTTAGCACATCTGGCACGTAAATATCTTGCGACACTGTCTACAACAGTGTCATGGGAACACATGTTCTCACTTTCAGGTGACATCATAAACAAGAAACGGGCAGCAGCATCTCCTGCAAATGGTAACCAAACTTGTTTGTCTGAGCGATTGGCTGAAGTAGGATCGAGTGGATGTGTAGGCTCTAAAGTTTTACGTTGTTTTATTTTTGAATACAGTTTGTTTTTGTACATAATTATACATTTGTAAGTTCAACTTTCAAGAGACCGCATTACAGTACTTGTAGGTGAATTGAAAAATATTATTTATTTTGTTTTTTACAGTGCAAATATTTGTAATTAAAAATAAATATAAAGTGAGCACGATACACTTTATATTCTATGTTGTAATTGAAAGCAATATATTTGAAAATGTAGAACGCATCAAAAAATATTTAAATAAATGGTATTCTATTAATCTTTTTAATTGCATGCATAATTGTGATTAATTTTTTTAATCGCTTGACAGCCCTACTTTATGCCAATACCACCGTATAACCTGTTCCATATCAGACCTTAAGACTAAGACATTCTGATTATTATCTTGCTTCCTGCTTCAAAAAGTTCAGCTGGTATGCTTAGCAGATACCATTGTCCACCTCCAGCTCTGAAAACCTGTGCTATATGCATCTTGAAAGCTGCAGGGAATATCAGCTTTCAAATAGCATAAGACATCTGTCATGGATCCATAGGATTGGTGCTATGGCCCCAGCTTTGGAACAGTCTCTAGGAGGAACCCCTTTGGTGTGCCAGACACCCTAGGGATCTCACACTTCCTCCAGGGTAAGCCACATGGCTTCATCATCTCCTTAGACTGGATCTCTGGGCCTTCAGCACTCCTGCTTCACACCGTGAGCGCCCTTCAGTGAGTCCAACTGAAACAGACCCCTGATGGAGACCTGTACAATCTTCATGGATTAATGCACCTTGCCAAACATTTGCAGACACACCCGCACTGTGTTGTCAAAACAGTAGGATTTATTTGTTACTGGAACACAGCATAGGAAGTCCTTGAGGTAGCAGAGAGAAATGGTTAAAGCATAGACCATTCTGGTTAGCCCAGAGCCCAGCCAAGTTGTAGTGAACTACTTGGTTCAAGCTCCGTCTGTCTACCTCCATCTGATTTTCTTCATCAAACTCCCGGTGGGAGCCCCAACTCCTTCCAGCAATGAAATCTTATTCCCCACCTCAAACCTCTCTAGTCCTTTGTTCTCAAACTGGGGAAATACTGTTCAGCCTCCATGAGGAGAGAAGTCCATATCCCTCTAGGTCGTTGGTTGCTAAGTGTCAATGTCCAGGCAATTGGATTTCCTATTGTCTTCTCCCATTGTCTGCTCCACTGATATGAGGCCTAGGGCCCAGACAGTTAGATGCTACTAACCCGTATCCGCCTCCCCCAAGAGCAAACAGATATGTTCTACCCACACAGGTGCCAACTTGCCGAAGTGCTGAGGGGTGCTCGATCCCTGGCTCTGCCCCAAGATCCGCCCCCACTCCAACCCTTTCCCAGAGGCCCCACCTCTTCCAGACCCCTCCCTCGAGCTCCTCCCCCTTCCCACCCAGCCTCCTGTACTCTGCAAAACAGCTGATTGCGCCGGGCAGGAGGCATGGGGAGGGAGGAGGCACTTATCCGCGGGGCCCACCGGCGGGCAGTAGGCACTGGGGGGGTTGGGGGAAGCTGATGGGGGGCTGCCGGTGGGTGCTCAGCACCCACCATTTTTTCCCCGTGGGTGACCCAGAGCACCCACGGAGTCAGTGCCTATGAACAGGACAGCATAGAGGGGAAACTGAGGCACAAACGGGACTCAAAATTATAATAAAATGTTCCAACTTTATCACACCACCAAACTCTTACATTTAGCCATTCATGAGATTAGACATGAAACTAGCTTCTTAATTTGTGTCAGTCAGAATTGAAGTATGTGTATGGGGCAAAGAGATTAGCAAAATGGTAGTCAAAATTATGCAGCTTTAAGATCCAATAGCTTGCAATTTTCTTGGCTAGAACATTTTGATAGACCAGTGCAAGTGTTTCCATCAGCAGTAAAGCTTTTCCAAGCACTGGTCCCAGACCACTGGTTTGAAGTAATAGATTTTTATTCCTGGTATAAACTCATCTGTACTTTTGGTCAGATACAACTGATTACATAACGAAAAAAGTAGTTTGGCTTAATTTCTTTTTTGTAATATAATGTTCATTAGGAAGTTGCAGAAGCAACTTTTTGGGCTTAACACTGAATGGCAAATCAACCCTTCTAGATACAGCTCAAGGAACAATGGCATATTTTAGTTATTCATATTTATATTGACATAACTCCCATTTCAAAAAAACTAAGTTCACAGTTACCCAAGAGGGAATGGGGGTGAAGAGACAGAGACTTACCCTCAGCAGCTGGCATTTCTGGACTCAGAGTGGACCTAGTAAAAATCAGCAAATAAAAAAAATGTCAGCTGGAAAGAAAATCTAGAAACAAATCTTCCACTCAAATTGTCAGATGGGACACCAAATGTCTTATGAATGAGGAAAATCATGGATGCTGTCCAAGTTTCAATAATTTTCATTTAGGACAACCTCTAACGAAGCAGAAAGGCGAGCAATTCCAGCCAAATTTAAATCTAGTAAAGAAAGATTATTTCAAGTACAACTCATAGAAGATCATAGTTTAAGATTTTCTGCCAGTTCCTCTAACCCAACATTGAGTTTTGGTTTATTTTTTTAAAAAGACCTAACTTTACACAGACATACAAATAATGTTTTATTACTGAGAACCAATCACATAGCCGCACTTCAGTGTTTTACAATAATTCATTACCTATTCCTATAACTAGATACCTAGAGAAAGTCCTATTTTTTAAAGAAACGAAACTGTCAGGTGTCAGAAAAACTACATTTCTCATCTTAAAATGAAGACTTGACTATTTTTACTTTTATAGTGAAACAAAACCCTTTGTACAATGGTTTTGCTAACATTACTGTGAGAAAATTCTCTTCTTAAACTCATTCATATTTACCGGGACCAGAACACTACATACAGTCTCGCACATGCCTACCTATCAGTTTCCTTTCGCTCTGCTGAAGTGATTGGTTGAGTTCTAAATCTCTCAGAAGTTTTCCTATTTTCACCAGGAGAAAAATAGCGCCTTGGCCTTCGTGACACTCTTTCAGGTTCAGTATTGGCAGACAAATCAGTACCTGATGTTAACATCTCAAATCGAGATTCACTTTTAATCATATGATAGAAAGTGCAAAGAAAAGAGAATAGAAGAGAAAAGTAAAGCACAGATATAGGCATCCCATCAAAACAATCCACTAAAGATCACTCTGCATGCTCCTACAGTAACATGCACAGAAGTATAGCAAACATTCCAGCTACCCAACATCATAACTTGCAGTAGCAAGCAGAAGCATAAGAGCAGATTCAGGCTGACTCAGCCTCCAGTACACACTGGTGAGAGCTAAGCTGTGTGGTTTAATGCAGAACACTACTGATGTTGAGTTTGTCATTTTGCCAAGGGCGTGCAAGTGTCACACGAAAATATTTCTGAAATGTCACCTACAGTTCAGTTTTCTTGTGGACATTGATAGTTTCCAGAAAGGCATTACGGAGTTGAGCAACAGAGACTTTTGTGTCAACCATGCCAATCTCACCATTGGGCACATTTGCTTCAGCACTCTGGAACGCCATCTCCTTTCTCGTAACAGTTTCCTTACTTTTTAAAGCCTCTGGCTTAGGAGAACCAGTATAATCAGACATTGAGCGAGTCAGGAGTCTATGCTTCATCGTAGACACTTCCTGAGCTTGACCTTTCGCCTTAGCAGAATGTGATATGGATCCACTTTGTACGTATATAACTGTCTCACTCCTTTCAGTGTTCTCACGAGTCTTAAACTGGGGTTCAGGCACCTGGTGCTTAGTGCACTCTAGCTCTTTCTGAAGCTCTGATGAGTTAGCCTTTGGCTTGCTTATAAGAGATGAGGGAACAGTAGCCTTGTCAAATTCACTTGCTCTAAAATGGTCTTCATTGCTCTTCCCTTGCCTGAGAACCTCAGATGGCAAAATTGGTTTTCTGTTTTTCAAAAGCTGTTCTGTCCCCAAAGGACATTCGTCAGGCTTTGAGCCATAATTCTGAAGTATGTTACTTTTTTCCTTTTCCAGTGCAGTGGCTGGTGGGGATTTTGTCATGATGCCGGCATTGTCTGATGTTAAGAGGCTGCTAATTGAGATATTTTCTGGGTCTTCTGTTGCCATCAGTTTGGCAGTATGAGCAACACCAGCAGGCTGAATATATCCATGTATCGGTTGGCGGACTGAACTGAGTGTCTGGCTGGCAACCCTATCAAAGGAAGAAGTTTCTGACTGAAGAGGCATGTAATCAACTGGCACTGGATGAGATTTTTTCTGAGATACAGGGTCTGTGACAAGTTCAGGGCTTCCATGAGCACTTTCCTCTTTCACCAGTTTCTCTCTAACTTTTACTCTTTAAGAAAGAAAAAGATTAAAGCTGTGACCAGCAATAACTAGTTTTGGGAAAAACATATATCAATTGTGGGACCAGAGAGCAACATCATATAGTAAAACAAAATAAAAAGATAAGCATCTACGTATTTTAAGGATATACTTTGAAACAACCTCCCCATCTTAAAATCTTGGCGTTAACACCAGCCTTAAGGACATTTTAAATTATTTACAGGCACCTAATACACGTGTGACCTTTCAGAAAGATAACTGAGCAAGGAATCACATTTAGAGCACGTTCCTAGTAATCACAATTCCACTCCTTTGTAGAACATAATACATTTTCATATTTTTCAAAACAGAGAATTAGGAGTTGCTTTCTAAAAAAATATAGTTTTTTGAAGAGTGTCTTTAGTGTGAAATTCCGACCTCCTTTTGCTATATGTACTGTTAAGCTGCCAACATACTGATCCTTGCTCACTTTGAAACAAATTAGTCAAATATCTTGGTATCTTCTCCATATCCCTTCCCAAAAAAAAAAAAAAAAGTTGCAGAAGAATATGTTGCATAGACAAGTCAAAATCTCCATGCAAACCTCAGAAATGGGAGCATTTCAAATGTTGCACACAACTTTATCTATCTTGATAAATGAAACCAAATAATGTTAAGGAGCCTCTCTAAAAATGAAAAACATGTCGGTAGAAAATGGAAGCCCAGTATGGTTGTCACTCTTTGTGGGCTTGCACAAAAACTTGCATTGTATGAACATTTAGGAAAAGTTTCACCACATCCCAATATGCTAAATTTCTGAGAATGTACTGAAACTTATCCCACCTTGGTTTATTTTCTAGCAATTCTGTTCAACTGTTACGATGTACATGCACAAATACAAGCCATATTCTGCCTCTGGATGCCTGCTGCTGGCTCCCAGTGACATCAACAGGAGCTAAGCATAATAAGCACCTGAGGGCAGCATTTGTCCTACACGTAACCACATAATTGTAACACATCTCTAGCATAATTTTTAGAGCCACAAAAAGTGCACAGTCAGGGAGACAGTTGAATAACATTTTAAAATGTCATATAAAAAATTAAAATCGAAAGCTATTTCCCCACACCCACCATGCAACTAGTAATCAGTAAGGTGGTTTTTTGCCCTAAGGTTGGGAAAAGCTCATATACAGTACCAAGCTAACTATTTAGTGGCAATTAACAGATATTCCAACCCTCAAGTAAGTGCAATTCAAGGCTTGCTACCAACAGACTTTTCCTACTTGCAGAATTTATTTTACATAAAAACAAGATTTAAAAAAAATAAACTAATGCTTTTGAGCACTAGTATAATCCACTATATCCCCAACTACCTGACACATCACCCTTTCCATCTGCTTAAATATTTTCTCTCTCTTATGAGGATTGGTCCATTTTAAAATGAAGGACCTCACAGTGACTTACTTCAAAACACGAATAAGAGTGCTCATTCTCAAAGCTTAAAAAAAATGCCTTTTCAGGGTATTATGCACCCACCAATTACCCAGAACTGTCACTGGTGAGGTTTTCAGAGTCAGATAATTAGTTCAATCAACAGTCTGAAATGCAATGAAGAGTTCTCCCCGGAATGCATGCTTCCAGTTGTGGACTCTTTTGATGTTCTGTCAAACTGGAGAGTAGCAGCTATTTGTAGCTCTGAATTTGGTTGTTTTGTCTTCCCAGTGACTTAATTCTTACTCCTCCTCCCCCACTCCATCCTTAAAAAATAAAACGATCAAGTCTTATTTTTAGTCACATCCTGCATTCAGGGCATAAAGCATTTTGTAATACAAAAATCTGTTGGCTTGCAGAGTGCAAGGGGGGGGAAAATGGTTAAGAACAGGCTGGAGATAAGATAAGAAGTTAGCCAAAGACCAATATCATAATAGCTGTGAAGAAAACATTAGGGGCATGTCTAGTTCTTCATGAAAACATCAATTAGTTATAAGTGACAAAAAGCAGATGCTCCAGAAACAAGTTTCCACAGCAGTTTATTGAACAGAAATAGTATTTTCCGATTCACTGCTGTTAAAGGATATAAAAGACAAATGTTAAATGAGGGCAGGGGAAAGGAGAAGGAGAGGGAAGTCAGTAACAATAGGTATAATTCGATTATTAGCCACACAGCTACATTCTAGGATACCTGGAGGGCCAGCTGATAAGTGAAGGTGTGTCCCCTTCTGAATCTTTCTGAAGAAACCATTCAGGTTTTGCTTTCCCTGTACTACTATAGAAAACAGAATTTCAGATAACTTTCTGGTAAGACAATACATGCACACTCAGTCCCTCCCCGTCTTAATCTTAAAACGGTTTTCAAATTTCTCAATTATAAGGTCTTGGTTTCTGAAGTACTGGCGCTGCACACTTCTAACTTTAACAAATTTGCATGATAATTTATCAAATAACCACCTTCACATACAAAAGAATACATAAGAACAGCCATGCTGGTCAGACCAAAGGTCCAGCTAGACCAGTATTCTATCTTCCGACAGTGGCCAATGCCAGGTGTTTCAGAGGGAATGAACCGAACAGGTAATCGCCAAGTGATCCATCCCCTCTGAAAACACACAGCACCCTAAACATTTTGCCAAGACATTTAACTAACCATTCCCAAATTGTCAGGAACCTGGACATCCACATCTAAATCATCGTTAGGAAGCTACATAGAAAGTAATTTTATATAAGTTACATGGACAGAAGCACTATATTGCACACAGGATTACTGTTAGACTATTCCTTTTATTTGCAATCTAAAGAGCTAAAGTCTACCAAAAGATCTTTAGCCCCAAATAAACAGATGACACAAGTTTAATGACGCTAGGAGAATGTATTACCATAGCCTACATGAAATTCTTGCATAAAGAGAATGAACATCAGAAACCCCCCTCCTCTGAGAGCAATATGCCAGGTTTCAGGAATTCAGATCCAGTAACCCCCAGCACACTGAGTGGGGAGTATGCGGTCTTTTAGGATAAAGTGGGAAGAGTTAAAATACACTAAATGAGCAAAGAAACACATTCTTGGCCCGATTCCATTTTGGAGTCTGATGCAAAAAGTAACAATATATGAGTGCCTACTGAAATTTGAAAGCACTGAAGGCTACAAAAGCCCTTCATGAAACAACTGATATACCATTGCACTCTTTCACAGATGCATTCAATATTTGTAATATCCACAACAAAGAGTCCCACCTCCATAGAAGATCATATACATTTTTAGACAATGATGAAGTTTACGTACAAAATGCAATGTAAAGGTATAATGGACCAAATTCTGCTCAGTTACACTTGTGTAAATCTGGAGTAGCTCTTTATAATTTAGTAGAGTTACTCTGGATTTACATACTGCTTTAAGAGCTGAATTTGGCAAAAGGATCTTTATTAAACTGAAAAGAATTTAGAGTAAGCCTTAAACTCATTAAAAACTCTCTTATTCTGCCTTCCTATTAGGGTCAGATAAAAGATCCCAGGGAAATCATATATAGGTACTGTAAATAAATCTGCCTATTTATAATGTTCAGTCTGAAACCTCAACCATAATTACGACTTTTTCCACATCTCTCATTTGAAATCTACCCCTTACTGTTAAAACAATTTTTGTTTTTCATCTTACTAAGATCACCAAAGAGTTTTTCACACAAAAGGGTGGGAAAAGCCTTTCAAAGCACTCCATGGGGCGTTGACCCAGCAGAGATTTGGTTGCTTTGAAACAACGAAACTTCCTCTTAGCTCGTTAGTATGTATTCTGGCATTTATCACAATAGGCCTGAGCAATAAGCATTTGTGTTCAATCTCCTGTCCTTTGAAAAGAGCAGTCAAACGTAGGTAAACCATGATAAAAATGTGAGGTTAATCTGACACTATTTATTTTTTTTAAATGCAGACTATCAAAGAATATCTTTGTGGGGGTTTTGCCTTCTCAATGATGGAAATAGAATTCATAATCAAACCTTCTTAACACAGGAAGTCACAAGCTATATTTGTTTTTAAATTTTAAATCAGCTGAACACAAAAGTTAAAAGAATCTAACACTGACATTTTAAACTCTGATTTTCAAAGCTCTACGCCAGGCAAGCTGATTTTTAGTCATACCTTGCATAATCAAACTTGATGGAGATTACAACATTAGTAGAACAGACTGCATGAGACAACAGCTCATTTAGCCTCCTGAAACAACTAGAAGTATTTCTGAAAAATAGTTCTGATTTCTTTAAAGCCTATTATGATGAACTGGAAGACATTCACATTAGTTTTCTGAATATTGTGTGTGTTAGGCCATGTCTAAGGTGTAACAGTACAGTTGCGCCGCTGCAATACAGGTGCTGGAACTAGCGGTGTTGGGAGTGCTGCCACACCCTCTGGCTTGAAGTGATTTCCATCATATACAAGGTTTAGAGTTTGGTTCAATGGCTCTCAGCACCCCCACTATACAAATTGTTCCAGCACTCCTGCGCTGCAGCCTGTGTGGTGAAGATGCCCTATGCCGAAGGGCTCCCGTTGGGATTAAAAAACCACGTCTGCGAGCAGCAGAAGTGATGTCGGCGGAAGAAGCTCTCCCACCAACATAGCGCCACGCATATCTGTGCTTATGTCAGCGTAACTTATGTAGTTCGGGGGGAGAGGGAGGTGGAATACTCACCCCCGAGCAACGTAAGTTTTGCGGACATAGGCTATAGTGTAGACGTAGCCTTAGTGTTCCTGTTCAATTTTGTATTGCTGCCTATTTAAACTCAAAGAATTAAGTCAGACCAGAGTAGGGGGAAACCCACAGGAAACAAAACAATGACAAGATAAGATAGCCTCAGGTAAATACAGATAATTTGCTTTTTAGGGGCAGTTTTCTACTCTCAAACGGTCACAAAGATCTTTATACTGTTTTACCAGGAACATAGCCTGGTCTTCCCACCATCCTACAGTGGTGGAAAAGTCCAAATAACATGTTCTGGAGCTGGAAAGTGGTAAAAAACATGGAAGAGAGGGTTATTCTAAAAGTGTCTTCTCATGGCTATATGTACTCGGGGTGTTTGCTGTGGTTTATTACAGGGGAGAACAAGAACCTCAAATTGAAGTGGACAGGTTCTTGGCTTTGAAGAGTAACAGTCTAATCTCTGTGCCTTTAAGGCTAGAATTTGGTCCACTCCTTTAGCTTCAGGGATTTATAAACCAGAGAAGGAAGAGTCGTGGGGGCTCACACTTTAATTGTTCCTATTAGTAATAGGATTAGTCAGGAGTGATTTATCTTTAGATTAACTGAATAAAGCTTGAGATAGAAGTGTGCAGCGCTGGGCTGAGACCTTCTGTTGGACTAGGCTCCCTGAAACATTTCAGTAGAACGGAATAGCTGGTCAAAAGCCTGCAGTGCAGTTATTTGCATATATAATAACGCAGTCTCAGTCTTGTCAACTTTCTCCTGATAGCTCCCTTAGATGAGCACTTTTCCTCTCAGACTTTTGCTTAAGTGGAGTGTCCAAAGACAGCTGTATGCAGATACATAAAGGAAGCTGTCTTAAAAATTGAGTTTTAAAATATTAGACAGGCAGTCCTCGGACTTGCAACACAATTGGTTCCTGAAAATTGCATTGGAAGTCGAAACGTTACAACTCAGAACCACAGTCTACTCCACTGCGGGACTGAGCATCGTAAGGTCGAAACCAATTGTCATAAGATGAATCAGGGTGTCAATTCAGAAACATCGTAAGTGCCGTTCATTGTAAGTTGAATGTCGTAAAGTCAAGGACTGCCTGTACTATCATCAGTCCTGTCCTATGTGAAACAGAAAGGGGAAACAAGCAAAATTGCACAAGTTTACTGAATATGGATAATGGATAGCTGGCTGCATCCATCTACTGGCAGGAAAAGGAAAACCCCAAAAGAGACATTCGTACTACAGGTATTAGCCTTTCACTTGGAGGGGATAGGGGAGACTTTCCTTACACTACTTGAAAGGTGTATAAATACCATGAAACGAGGAATTTAGGAATAATTTAAAGACTTTCGGGAGTTTTACTTCTCTCATTTTAATTTAATAAAATAATTAAGAAAATACGATATACTAAATCAAAGTAACTTGATTTTAATAATCTTTTCCCATCGCTGGTTATATTTACATAATCCTCACAAATCGTTTCACTTATATTAGTTCTTGTAAATTATTCTGAAGTAGTCAAGATTACCTAGCACAGCTAAATCTTACTGACAACAGCTTACTGTCCATTTTTTAGATGGTACACTGTCAAACTACTGTTACAGGATGTCTCCATTTCATCTTGTTTCTTTAAGCCTGCGATACATTAACCTTCAGGGAGCCAAACAACTAAAGCTGCATATTTTTAGGAGAAGAAGTTGTTCGAAGATGAAGTATTTAGAGAATTACTAGTCAGACTTTGTTTTCATTTGCTACAATAAAGCATTTGATGGCTCTCAGACCTCAAAGTAACATCAGCACTCTTATGCTGCTGCTCTCAAATGAAGACTGGGAAATCAGTTTGAATCTCCGATCCACCAGATATCAGACTTCGAGTCATCAGAGTATGTGAAAATTTATCACTTATGTGGGGAGGACACAGTGGAAAAGTTTACATCTCAAGTGTTCTGGAACTCAACATATGCAGGATCTCATAAAAGAATATTTATATGATGTATGGGACTACCAACAGAATCAGAATTTGCTTAAATCCCATGGCCCTAATTTTTTACAATGGTCAGACAATTCTTTTCAACCTACCCAACGTACATTTTAGCTTAAGACTTTCATTTGCAGGCTAAGGAAATAGGCTACTTCTATTTAATATTGGTAAAACACTACATAGAGAGAAAAATAATAATCTAGAAAATTTGCTTTTACTAAAAAAAAAAAAAGATACTGAATTTGAAGTAAATACACTTAAATTGAAAGTGTTTTCTAGATCAAACAGTAAATGCACATTTTCAAAATGCAGCAAATGTAGTACTGTAACCATCACCCATTCTTAATTTCTCCAGAAATCTCTCTAAAAAGGATAGTTTCTTTTCATAAAAGGACTTTCTTGTTACAGTAGCTTAAATCTAATAAATGCTCAGGAAACACACAATGGACTTGTAAAACCTTATTGCATGCAAGCATAGTAATCCAGTTTTACAAGATATGACAATGAGTATCTAAATATCAAAAAACAGAACTCAGTTCAAGGCACACAAGACATTAGCACTAGTGGAGAATTTGTTTATTCAGGTACATCATCTTTAAGTCTTGTCTGTATTGTAGAGATTTTTATAAAGGTCAAAGGATACCAATATAGAAAAAGCATACTTACCCATGTCTGATGTCACTATACAAGGGCTGGTCATTGTGTGAATGACTTGGTGAAACTGGCTGCTTTGGTGAGGAAAGGGATACCCTGCAAGTTTGCTTTGGTGACACTGGCACTTCCTTAAAGGAGGATTCTTGTTCAGAATATGAAAAGGATGCAGAACCATCCACTTCTGATGACAAGTCCTGAGCCTGTCCAGGAGCACTAACGTCCTGGGCTCTTTTATTCTCCAAGTTTGAAAGCTCCTCTCTATCTGGAATGCTGTCTTTTTCATGGAAGGAATATTCCTTTGATTCAGAAGCAGTAGTCCATGACTCCTTATTCTCAGACATGGAGGAGTACAGGGAACTATACTCCTTGCTTTCATCCTCCTGCTTGTCGCTCTTTACTTCTTTTTTTTCCCCAGCATCAGGATCTTTTCTTGCCCTGGTATATCTGGATAAATATTCAGAATCTCCCTCAGATTCTAAAGGCAATCCATATTTTTCTGCTAGCTGGCGTCTCCTCTCTGCCTTGTACCTAGCTATTCTTTCTGCTTTTGACTCAAGTCCCTGGGTATCCATGGCTCCTGTGCTATATGTAGGCTCTGAATGTGCTCCTGTAGGTTCTGCTCGATACCTGGATGACCTAGGTTGTTTTTCTACAGAAGAATCTGAAGTTTCCTCTTCTTCATTTGATCTTCCTACAAAAAGTATGTATGTAGAATACATAAGAGGGATTAGTGACTTGTCCTGAATTCATACTTTATTAAAAATATTATTCAAATCTCTTTGGAGCATCACACCTGCCATTCAGTAAGCAGGCTTCAACCGTATATAGTGTGACTTTTTAGTTATTATAGGTTTTTGCAATTCAAATGAACTAGCAAAACTGTTTATGGATACTCCCATGAACTACTCCGAAATAACCCTCTACTACTTGACTGACATCTCCAAAACACATACAAATGAACAAGAAACGTGCAGTAAATGCTCCTGAATATTGAGTATGTATTTCACCTTCAAAAGGAAGTTAGAATTCTTATAATAACCTACAGGTTTTAAAAATAAAACCAGTGTCTCTTTCTAAAATGGTGGAAGAACAGAGATACTGTACAAAAATCAATCAAAGCCAGACAGAAAACTGAAAAGCAATTTTAAAAGTACCGTATATGCTCGATCATAAGCCGGTTCGTTTATAAGGCGACCGCCCCCCCAAGATGGATAAGTAAAAATGGAAATTTTTTATAATTCATTCATAAGCCGACCCTATAATTCAGGGGTCAGCAAACTTTGGCTCCTGGGCCGTCAGGATAAGCCGCTGGGGGGGCCGAGATGGTTTGTTTACCTCGAGCGTCTGCAGGCACGGAGGTAAACCTAAGTAAACGAAGTGTCCCAGCGCGCCAGCTGCTTACCCTGATGGGCCGGGACAGCAACTGGTGGGGAAATTTTGGGGGAGGGGCGAGAGAGCTGGAAGTCAGGGGAGTAACCCCTGTGACCACCCTCCTAGCCCCGGACACCCACACACTCCACATCCCATCCCTTCCCACCTTATCTGGGGAGGGCCAGGGGAGGATGTCTCTGACCTGGTTGGAGCTGCTCCGGCAGGCTGGGCAGTGCAGCCGCAGCCTGCTCCAGCAGGCCAGACCGAGCAGCGCGGCCGCAGCATGTTCCAGTCGGCTGGGCCGGGCGGCATGGCCGCAGCGTGCTCCGGTGGGCCAGGCGGCGCGGCCACAGCCTGCTCTGGGGGGTGGGTCCGAGCGGCACGGCTGCAGCTTGCCAGCCCCAGAGCTGCAGCTGCTTCAGAGGCTGGGGGGAGAGCAGCATGGCCAGAAGCGGAGAGACTCTGACCCCGCCTCTTCCCTTCTGGCTCTGCTGCCTCTCCTTGCTCCCTCTGTTGGGGGGAGGGGCTGTGTCCCACCCCTCCCTCTCTATACCCGTTCATAAGCCGACCCCCTTCTCTGGTGCTTCCCTTTTTTACTAAAAAAATTTGGCTTATGAACGAGTATATACGGTATCTTGCAACAGAGTTCTCTCTGAAAGTAAACCATTACGTGTGAGAACTGTGTATCTGCTACTGCAAGGCCGATAACATAGCAAGCATGAAGTACTTCAGCAATGTCCGTTTGAGATATATATGTAAACGTATTTCTTACCAAAGTGGGGACTATATGGGTCTGTTGCACGCATATATCTTGGTGTATCTTCTTCTAGTAAACGGTGGGTAACTAATCCAGGACAATTTTGTAGGAGGATGGGCTGTGTATCATTTTCAATTCCCTCTAAACGTCTGGCGATCCTCTCTTTCCTGCAAAAGATGGAAGAAAATGTGTAAATGTTATCTAAAGATTTGGAGATAGTTTCTAGAGGAGGTCACAAAATAATTCTATTACTAAATTATTTGTATTTACAGCAGTTAGACAAAAGGCTGTTTTACCTTTTCATTTCCAAAATATTTTGCTTGTTTGGTTCAAAGAGTTTTCTTAATTCTGAAACTAAAAAGAAAAAAAGAAAAGATGCAGTGTATCTTTTATACATTAGGAATTCTCAGGCATCACAGCAGGATGTCTATATGCTTCTGTTTTAAGCAAGAAGGGATGGTCTAGAAAAGTAGCTTTTCACATAACCAGTCACATACAGGTAAACATTTCCTATTTGGGTTCCTTGCTTACTAACTTCCTTAAAACACATTTGGCAAATACTGTAGTAAATACAAGAGAGTCCTCTAAAAATTTATCTAGACTAGGGTTAAAACATGGTATTTTAGGAACATGTTAAAATACAATTTACCCTGTCAACATGTTTTAAAACACTAGTGTAAACACATTAGTTGGCTGAGGTTAATCCTGGTAGGTAGTTTAGGTGACATCACAACCAGTTAATATATTAATACAGGTTGGTCTGTCTACACTTGTATTTTTACTATTAGCTAAATGTGTTGGCTAATAAGTTTTTAAAAACACACCAAGTTAACCCCTTTAATCCTAATCTAGACAAGCCCTAAGAATCCTGATGACTTGTGGCCAAAGACCACATAGTACTTTTCACCAACTGTTCCCAGAGTTAACCCCAGTACCCTGATTATTTTCCTACTTTGTTAGTTACAGTCTGCTTAAATAATTTCCCCCTGTAGTTTTAACTGTATAAATATTTACTTCTTATCCTAAATTGTTCAATAGTGTTACCTGCTGTTAGACAACTATCACATTTCATCTCCTGTCATTTCACTAGCATTTCAGTGACGGGTGAAGTAATCCCTACATATACAGTGTCAGTTGACATTTGTAAACCCCTTTGAACAAAAAGATGCTATATAAATAAATATGGCACAATTTCTTTTCACCAGGCAACAAACTCCATGTATGTGACCACAGGGGCTGGGGAGTGAGAAGCTAGAAGCCTGATTTCCTTGCAATAGTATACGACTAAAAGCTGAGTCACTATGCAGACCTTTGATTGGGTTTTAATATAGAATGGTTTGACCGTGCCTCTGATATTTAAAAGACTTGCTGCTTCTTTATGTAAAGTTTAGGTTTTTGTTTTACATGAAACTGGTAATTTACTTCTTTTCACGACTTCAGTTTAGGTGCTGCAACTGTATTCCATAAATATACAGATTGACATATTGTAGAAATGTGGTCTGGTTAGTAATACAGCAGTGTCAACCCAGGGTCTTGCCCACAGCAAGTATGATCAACAAATCAGCATAAAAATAAACATTCAGTTTATGGAAGGACAAGATTAACCATATTTTAAAATATTTACTTCCAGGATAAAGGCTGGCATTCAACCAAGAGCTCAATTTTATTGCAGCATTAAGTCTCTGAAGAGGTTTTAGAACATACCACTAGTATTTAGTAACATGAATGCACATTTGGACTTAACTTGCATGGCACAATATGGGTGATGAACATACCTATCAGCATACCTGCAATATCTCTGCAAGTGAAAGGCAACTGTATTAAAGCATTCCACCACCTCTTGCCCCTTTATCCTGAGCTCATTTAGACAGGGATTGAAAATTAAAGCGGGCCAAAATGAGACTTGCTCTATTTAGTCCTGAACCAGTGGGGGAGGCCTGACATCTTGTGAACTGCTAGAACAGGAAGAGAATGTTCTACACCGCTGCAAAGGTAAGCTTACCAAATTTCTAGCTTTAGTCCTTGTAGCTTAGGCGGCACATAAGAACAGGCATTACAATATGCACCATTCAAATTGCACGGGGCTTCTTCTCCCTCACTTCCTTCCTTTCCACTGGATTTTCTCAACCAGTTTTTTGGTCAACCGCTAGTGCTAGAAACCAGATGCCTTTCCACCCCCTGTAAATTTGGAAATGTCGCTCTCAAGGGGAACAAGATGTGAATTTATGATCCTAGTGGTGCATGAGTTATCAGTGGTTGCTAAAATGGTGTGGAAGACTGTTGCACAGGAACTTCCAGAACATGGTCCAAGCACTTGTTCTGTAGTGTTCAGACTGACCTTGACATATATCACAGCTATACATAAAACGATATGTTGCAGTTGTGTGTCCTTTGGGCTTTTCAGGGTTTATGCTGATAGTTTTTTGGTGTGCAGGTTTGTTTTTTGTTTTAAACAGAAGACTCTCGTGTGATACTATCAATATAACAGATTGTCAAATGGTAAATTGTAATTTGTGATAGCATCACAGAGAGAAGTTGTATGATTCAACTGTAACTCACGGAAACAAGCAACTTCAAAATAAAAAGGAGATCCCTGGAAAATGGAAAAGTCAGTTGCTGGATTCCCATTCCACCATTCAAAATCATTCTTGTGGTTTGCCACAGCATGCATATTCTTCAAAAGGAAAAAACAGTTTACTAAGATCAGGTGGATTTCCCCAGTTATCTCCAATATTAGCCTCCCTGGTCAAATTCAATATGAAGAGTGCAGAGTTTAAATATTGGTCCAGAGTAATCTAATCAGACCAGGATCAAAGCACATATGCAGGGCACTCCAGGCAATTTGTACAAGAAGGCACCTGTTTGAAGGACAGATCTCTCAGCCCTCAGTGCTCTTAATAGAACTTCCCTCAAGCACCAAAATTCACTTTAAAATTAAACTAAAATGGATGAAATGTAATGCATATGGAATACTGTACTATTAACTAACAAAATACTGTAACTCTATCGACAGTATATCCTGGATATCACTAGTCAGGATGATCTGATACCAACTAGTGTAAAAATGTTACAGCAGTAATAGTGTGGGATTCAATCCCATCAATTTTTTAAAAAAGAAAAATATATTAATCACGGTGTACTAGACTGATCACAAAGTCTTAGATTGGTCGCAGGATTTCTGTATGAAAGCATGAGTAGGACTAACACTTATCAGTGTACACGATCATCAATCTTTGGTTTAAATATTGGACTTTGGAACAGTCTCATGGGCAGCCATGTGTAGTTTGCTTCAAAAAAAAATTTAGTTTATTTTCAGAGAGCGGCAGGGAGTGTTAGGGGAACATGTCGACATGTTGAACCTTTAAATATTCTACAGAATAGCTTTGTATAATAGGCAATGTGGGTTGCAACGTAAGTGGCATGTGTTAACTTTCCTCTTCTGTGGCCATAAAGAAACGGATAGTGTTTAAACACAGGATCATGAGGTTCAATAAAGACAACATGCAAAATCAACTTTTTTTTTCAACTGTATTGTAGTAGTGCCTATGAGTCCCGGTCCTGGATCAGGGTCCCATTGTTCTAGGTGCTGTACAAAACACAAGCAGCGTACAATCTAAGTAGATGACAAGAGACAACAGGTGGATACTGACAGAGAAAGCAAATAGAAACAATGACACAATAATCAGCATGAGAGGCAGTGGTCTCAACATACCAGCTGATTATCAGTTGTCAAGTTTTCTGTAGGCATCACAGCTTAAGTTACATTGACTATGAAAGGCTGAACCCTAGCAAAGTTGAATTCTTTTGTTTTCGATCACTGCATGTTAAACACAAGGCCACGACAGCTGGATAACGAGTGTGAAAGTTTTATGGGCTGTCTTCTCTCAAAGTTAGCATGGAGAAAAATTGATTATTTTTAAAAAGACTTTTTTAAAAATCTGACTTTATTTAAATTAAATTCAGGTTTATTTTTATGTAAAATTATTTTTTAATTTTAAAATTAAATTTAAAATTATGACAACCTATATTAATACCTAAATTTACTAAATCTATTAAATTGTTTAAAAATATTAAGCAGTACATGTGTGTTCCCAAGTTTTAAAGGAAGTCAAATCACTGAATGGCATGAAGATAGGTAGCTGGAATCAGAGTTTGCTTAAGTGCTAAACCTGCTTTTGACAGCAGTAGCCTCTTCTGCAGCTGCAGAGAGAAATTTTTTCCATTTCAGTTTATTCATCTAGTTCAGTTCAATGACTAGTTCATTCAACATTTAGAAAATGATAGGAGTTGAAAAAGCAGAAACCCTTTTTTCCCCCCCTCTTCCAAACTATGAATAAAAATTAGGCTTAAGAAGATGAGATCTACTAGATCTAAAATCCTGAAGGACCAGAAACAATCAGTTCAATTCACTAATTACAGAGAATACTTCCTTCTTTAAAAAAATAAATCAGTTTTAAATGCAAAACGTGTTAGATAAAATTTCTGATTAACTTTTTTCTCCTTCATCAGCACATTTAAGAGAGTTTAAATAAAACTAATAAAATTTAAAATACTGGTTTTGTGCAATGTTTAATTGAATTTGAATTTCCAGCCAAAGAGAGCTTTATACAAATCACAAATACAAAATTAATCTAGTAAAAACTAATCATTCAACATTTTCTATCATAAAAGTTGAAATATTAAGAATCTAAATAGATATAGTTATATATATGCTTAAATAAATGTGTATAGATACAATGTATCTTCCTTGTCAGTAAAATAAAGCACCAAAATTTACTGTAAAGACTATATTAAGTTGCAAATCAATGTGTTTTAATTGCGCTCAACCCTTGAAAAAAAAATCCATCTTTCTTTGGGAAAATAACTAAGTAGCACCAAACTGATTATTTAAATCAAGGTTTCCTGCTTGCTGATTTAAGTCAGTTAAAATCAGTGATTTTAATTAATCCACTCCTCACCTACACCCACATTATTTTGTTTTTTTTTTTAAAGCATTCATTTAGTATTTGTTGCTCAGGTATGTAGAACAACATCTGAATAGCACTTTCCCAAAAAAGATTTCAGATTACGCACACACTCATACTCTCTATTTGGGAAATATTTAAAAATAGGCAGGTAGTCTGCTACTGCAGGGTTTTGTTATTTGCTGGATAAAATGTTGAAGCTCATACATTTTTCTTCTAAAGATGCGGGTTGGCTCTTGCAACCTTATCCAATTGGGTTTCTCTTTTTACTATGGTCTCCAATTCTATGTGCACTGATGCCAAGGCCCTGCCTGTTCACTAATGTGTTGTTCTGTGACCAAAAAGAATTACACCGTTGCACGTAGTCACACACATGGCAGGTTTGGGGGTAATATTGCTTTCAACCAATTAGTAACTCAGTAGTGGTGGGGAACTTATCCCTGCATGACTCAAAAATGTGCAACACTTGGGAAAGGGGGAAAAAGAGAAACATCTGTAAAGTGTAAAATGTTTAATTTACATTGAAACTTCCATACTTTGTTTTGGCATCAAGTACATAAATAGTTACTGGTGGTCTGTGTTGTAGCTAAGTGGGACAGCCATTATGCCCTCAGCAACAGCTCAAGCCTTTGACATTAGAACCTATTTTAGAATCTTGGTTAGGACATTAAATGGGTTATTCTCTATTGAAGACTCTCAGAAGTTATCTTCGTTTTGATAGCTATCAATCTTCCAAACAGGATTTACCCTGTGATACCAAACTGACCATTTCAGCAGATGCAGTACTCATCTTCCAAGGCAGCTACATGTCATTCAAGGACAAAAGATAACAGGCCAAATAAAAAATAAAATAAAAAAATTAATTCTTATTGGATGCTTTTCGAAAAATCCTGAAAAATTCAGGAAGGAACAAGCTTCCTGCTAAGGTAGCTTCATGTTTTGGCTATAAATCTCTTAGATATGAGAGAGGATCCAATCAGGTAAGATTTAAAGTCACATGACATTTTTACAGCTCTGTTTTAAGAGCAAAAATAATTAAACCTTTCACAATTCCCTCAGAGGATGAGCATATGAACTTGGTTGGTCAGACTGGTAGATCAAAATTCACCCGCCAGAGCATCACTCCTCATTTACAGTTAATAGATGTCATAATATAATCCTAAAATCAGGCATTAAACCTCTTTGTTTTGAGGAAAATCCCATAAACTAATAAATGTTTTTGGTTTTATGGTGCTCTACAGGCCAAATTATACCAGACATAACTAGGAAACTCCATCATCTTCAGATTATGCCATCAAGGACATGTGCTGGCCCACTTATGGATAACAGGGTTGCACAGGTGTCACAGAGCCGAATTCCTACTGAAAACCTTTTAATTACAGGTAGTATAAAAGATTCCAGACTTGACTCTTAGTGTCAAATGAGTTGGCTGAGATGGCAGTTAGAAACCTCCCCTCCCCCCATCTTTTCATTTGAAAATTGAACAAATCTGATATTGAAAAGTCAGTATTACCTAGAGCTACACTGTCCAAAAAGACACTTAGTACTAAGTACACGTCTACCCCGATAGAACGCGACCTGATATAACACAAATTTGGATATAACGCGGTAAAGCAGTGCTCCGGGGGGGCGGAGCTGAGTGCTCCGGCGGATCAAAGCAAGTTCGATATAACGCGGTTTCACCTATAATGCGGTAAGATTTTTTGGCTCCCGAGGACAGCGTTATATCGGGGTAGAGGTGTAGTTCCTATGTAAATTAAAAATAGCTGGTGGTAACTGAGCCCTATTGAAAACCTAGTGCATAGCGAGAATGGAACCTCAATGCCATTGTTACTTCATAACTTTTTAGGATAAAATGACATTTAAACTACACATTTATGATCAGAAGAGTTTCTTGGGCTGGAGGGTTCAATCCGTTTAAGTACAAGGCAGTTGCTGACAAGGTGTTTTTAATAAAGGCCTTTTCACTCCAAACTTGTTTCCCTTCTTGGTCAGCCAGAGCCCAATCCACTAAGCTTCCAAGCATGTTGTCAAGCCCATTTTTTTCCTCCTTGGAGAGTAAAGATTAAGGTACAGTATATGAAGAGGCTGAGGGGGTATTGATTGCTACAGCTCAGTAGTATTATGGATAGCTTATATTCTATATTTGAGGAATACCTTTTTCTATTGTGTTACTCAATTATTGCAAAAAGTGCCCAGTTCAATGAATGTGTGCTTTTTTCCCCACATCAAAAAATGCATATTGATTTTACATCACAAAAGGTGATTACAGAAAGAGTGCAGGATCAGCCACGTTATTTGACAATGACATGCTGGGAAACAGTGTTCCGTTCTAAAATGTATTGCCACCAACTGTATGCATGGAGGAACACAGGCATCATTATGATGCAACAAACCAGTCTACCATGCTATCTTGTCTCACCATGGCAAGTGCTGTTATCTTTAGAAAGAGGAATGAATGCGGCGTACCAACATCCTGAGCCCTGCAATATTATGCTTTGGAGTGTGGGTGACTTCCTGATTCCTGCTACATACTATTATTCTCAAGTCACTGGTTTACTTAATGAAGTTAGCCCTTGAACAGAAAAGGGCTATTTGTGAGCAGACAGACATTTCCATTTATCTGGATTTTTCCTAGTTTCTTCCCCAGTAAAATGTGTTAGGGTCACAAGTCACATGGCATTTTTACAGCTCCCTAATTGATTAAGTAACTTGTGATTGGGATTTAAGAAGCTAGTGGTGTTTTAAATCTCTTAGGTAGAATGGCTAAAGGAGCAGGAAATGTAACCATTTCCCTTGCTAGAAAGCACAGGCGTTGCCAGAGGCAACATTCCTAGGGTAATTAGGCTTAGATGGCATTTATTGGCTAGTTGCAAAGTTTGGGGTTACTTTTTTTCTCTCATCACATTCAAATAATTGCTTGGGTGGTTCTAGGCACAAAGATTGCCATCACATGCTTATCTGGATTGTTTAATTGCATGAGATAGGGACTTGGGGAACACTGTCTCACTCCTGCCCGCCCCCATAGGATCTCATCTGAAGTAAGATGTACTGGGCCCTGTGCAGATATTCTAGCACATAAGCTTAAAATTCACTGAGTATTTATACAAGGAAACTCGCGACCTGAATATTTGCTAAAGATGAACAGAAAAAGGCTGCAAACACAACCAAAGAAAGTTCTTTTGTAAATTTAAGCAAGTTCTTTTCCTGTACTAAGTATTCATCTAGCTCTACTAATTTCTTTTGGAAGTTTTGAATTTCAGCTTCTGTCTGACCTTTTTGAAGTTAGGTAAACAAAATTGAACTCCACAGGCAACGATTTAACAAATGACTTATATAAAAGAGCATCTAATTTCTATATCATTCTCCTCCCTTATTAATACAGCCTCCACAGGGAGGTGAAAACTAATTTACAAGCCCTGTGTGCCTATTATTAGTTTCAACTGTGCCTTGCATTTGTCTATATTAAGTTTTGTTACCCAATGTGCATACACACACACACACACACCTTTTTTTACCTACCTTTTGGAAGCACTGCTAAAAGATTAGCATCAATGTCCTTTGTGCTATTAGCAAGTTCTTCTTTATCCTCAAATGAAAATTCTTTCTGAAAACTGAAAACATTATCTGGTTTACTGAGCTGTGAACACTTCAGCTACAGATCAAATTAAGCCAAGATATATAGAGATTTACTTCATGATACCTTAACATACAGACACAAAGAAGCGTATTTGCCATGATTTCAGGAGACACAGAAACAAGGCCAGACTCCCATTAATGGGACAATTAATGGAAGCAGTACAGTAAACAAAATCAATATAAGTGCTACAATAGGTTTAACATAATATAAGTAGTACACCTCTGAAAGAGTAAAGAAACTGAAACCAAAGCCAGGCTTTGGCAAGTGTACAGTGCTCACTTTATATGATTATTTTTTATTACAAATATTTACACTGTAAAAATGATAAACAAAGGAAATAGTATTTTTCAATTCACCTCATACAAGTACTGTAGTGCAATCTCTTTATTGTGAAAGTGCAACTTACAAATGTAGATTTTTTTAAAAACACAAATGCACTCAAAAACAAAACAAAGTAAAAATTTAGAGCCAACAAGTCCACTCAGTCTTACTTCTCGTTCAGCCAATCGCTAAGACAAACAAGTTTGTTTACATTTATGGGAGATAATGCTGAGCACTTCTTATTTACAATGTCACCAGAAAGTGAGAACAGGCATTCGCATGGGACTTTTGTAGCCGGCATTGCAAGGTATCTACATGCCAGATATGCTAAACATTTGTATGCCCCTTCATGCTTCAGCCACTATTCCAGAGGACATGCTTCCATGCAGATGACGTTCGTTAAAAAAATAATGTGTTAATTAAATTTGTGACTGAACTCCTTGGGGAAGAATTGTATGTCTCCGGCTCTATTTTACCTGCATTCTGCCATATATTTCATGTTGTAGTCGTCTCGGATGATGACTCAGCACATGTTCATTTCAAGAACACTTTCGCTGCAGATTTGACAAAATGCAAAGAAGGTACCAATGTGAGATTTCTAACGATAGCTACAACACTCAACCCAAGGTTTAAGAATCTGAAGTGCCTTCCAAAATCTGGAGCATGCTTTCAGAAGTCTTAAAAGTGCAATACTCCAATGCGGAAACTACAGAAGCTGAACCACCAAAAAAGAAAATCGACCTTCTGCTGGTGGCATCTGACTCAGATGATGAAAATGAACATGCATCGGTCCACACTGCTTTGGATAGTTATGGAGCAGAACCCATCATCAGCATGGATGTATATCCTCTGGAATGGTGGCTGAAGCATGAAGGGACACATGAATCTTTAGTGCATCTGGCATTAGGGTGACCAGACAGCAAATGTGAAAAATCGAGACGGGGTGGGGGGTAATAGGCACCTACATAAGAAAAAGCCCCGAATTTCAGGAGATATTGGGATATCTGGTCATCCTATCTGGCATGTAAATACCTTGCGACGCTGGCTATAACGGTGCCATGTGAACACCTGTTCTCACTTTCAGGTGACATTGTGAACAAAAAGTGGGCAGCATTATCTCCTGCAAATGTAAACAAACTTGTTTGTCTCAGCGATTGGCTGACCAAGAAGTAGGACTGAGTGGACTTATAGGCTCTAAAGTTTTGTATTGTTTTATTTTTGAATGCAGGTTTTTTTGATACATAATTCTACATTTGTAAGTTCAACTTTCATGATAAAGAGACTGCACTACAGTACTTGTATTAGGTGAATTGAAAAATACTATTTTTTGTTTTTTATAGTGCAAATATTTTTTCAGAATATCAGAAATAAATATAAAGTGAGCACTGTATACGTTGTATACTGTGTTGTAATTGATATCAATATATTTGAAAATGTTGAAAACATCCAAAATTATTTATTCTATTATTTAACTGCAATTAATCACAATTACATTTTTTTAATCGCACGATTAATCAAGATTAATTTTTTTTAATTGCTTGACAGCCTTAATTTATATCTGAAACAGTCTTGGTAAAACCATTCCTTATAAATAACTTTAATGTTAACATTTCATACAATGTGGCAGGTTATATTTATCTTTTCGGTACTATATGACACATTCTAAACAGAACACTCTTAGTACAATTAATATGACATTTATGACATACACACGCATACATCTATAGATCTAAAATGGCTTTTAGAACACAGGCCATCCAGCATCTTTTCTTGTTTAAAAAAATTAAAAAAGGCTCAATTGTCTACTTACGTGAGAAAAATATTTCTTGAAATACAGATGTTTAGCATTATTTGACATTTTTATGTAAAATACAGGTGTTATACCATCTAGACATCTTCAGTTGGCACTGAGATCCCCTATGTTAAGTTAGGAAGGTCTATTGAGAGAATCAGGGTATGTCTACACTAGAAACGCTACAGCAGCACAGCTGTAACATAGGCACTTACTTCAGTGATGGAGGGGGTTCTTCCATCACTGTACTAACTCCACCTCTCTCAGAAGTGGCAGCTGGGTCGACAGAAGATCTTGCGGTGTCTACACTGTGGTTTAGATTGGCTTAATTACATTGCACATGGCCAAAATTCATAAAGGTAAATAAACTCAAAATTAGTTATTTAAAAAATCTGTTTACTTAAACTAATCTTTGGGTGTCAGCCCGACTCATCACTTTTGAATCCCTAGGTCAGTGATTCTCAACCAGGAGTACACGTACCCCTGGGGGTACACAGAGTCTTCCAGGTGGTACATCAACTCATCTAGGTATTAGCCTAGTTTTAGAACAGGTTATATAAAAACACTAGCAAAGTCAGTACAAACTAAAATTTCATATAGACAATGACTTGTTTATACTGCTCTACACTGTATACCATATACGGAAATGTAAGTACAATATTTATATTCCGATTTATTTTATAATAATATGGCAAAAATGAGAAAATAAGCAATATTTCAGAAATAGTGTGCTGTGACACTTTTGTATTTTTACATCTGATTTTGTAAGCAAGTAGTTGTTAAGTGAGGTGTAACTTGGGGTACACAAAAACAAATCAGACTCCTGAAAGGGATACAGTAGTCTAGAAAGGTTGAGAGCCACGGCCATAGGGCTAGTAGTATCATTGACAACATTGACTATGCTGCCATAGTGCATGTGAAATAAGATAATACTTTGAGTTTAGTTCAATATAGACTCCTGACACAGGAAAGCATTAAAGCACATTTCAATTAAGCATGTGCTTACATCCCCCTTTGACTCAATGGGCGTAAGCCCTTGCCTATACTGGACACTATATCTTCTGTGGGTTTTCTGCTTTTCCTCAACCCCGTCTCAAGTTCTGAAGTTTTTTGTTGTTGTTTTAAAGATCTTCTACGTAGGACCATGTGTGCTGTAAACTGGTGTGGCAGCATGCCAGTTAGGTAGCTTCAACTCACATAAAGAATTTTGAGGCAGGTTTAGTAGTAAGTTGCCGAGGGAGCTCTGGGAACATGTGTCCCTTATTCATCATGCTGCCATCTGACTAGGTCAAAAACATTTACTTAATCAAATCAATGCCTCGTACTGCTTTACCCAGATAGCACGTCTATACCAATAGTAAAAGGCAAAAAGGAAGATATTGCTCTTTAAAAACAATACAATTTATCCAAAGAATGTGGCATAAAGAAATACAGTAGTCCTGAAAAAGTAGAGATGCATTTACGACTTATCACTACGTGAGGGACCTCTTACTGAAATCTGTGGGGGGATTTTTGGTTGGCCCTTTCCCAATTCCAGGAGAAAGGAAAATGGCCAAAGAGGACTCGGGATCCTGAAATTGACAGTCCCCAGGGCTAATGGGGGAGGCCAGCGCTCCACATCAATCGGATCAGCGCGGGGCGGGGGGGGAGGTCAATGAGGGAGTCAAGAGCCCTCGGCCTTCCTCAGCGTGAGCTAGGGCTGCCAGGGCAGAATGATAGATAGATAAGATAAGATAGGGCTCAGAACACAGCTGGGGAGAGAACAGCAGCAGATTGGAGAGAAAGAGCGCTGGGGCAGGTCTCCTGCTCATGCAGTAGAGTCATGAGCTCTGGTTTAGGAAGAGATGGAGGGCATCAAGTGCCAGAGGGGGATGTGGCCTGACAGGAGGGCAGAACGGGTTCTGTCACAGAGCCCAATCCTGGGGCAGGGCCACACCAGCAGCGTCACAGCAGCGCATCCAGGTCCAGGAAGCCTTTGCCGGACTCGTAAATTTGTTGTTACTGTAAAATTTATTGCATGTTAGAGACTGCTTGACCCTTACCCAGGCCATCTCCTCACAGTGCTTCCAGGGTGTTCTTTAATGGCCAAAGAAACAGCTTGGTGTAAATAAACTGTATATGTGTTTAAGTGAATGGCAGTGATTACGGGTTAAAAGGGTAACAAGGGAGTTAGGAGTATCCTGGAGTGGGGGCACCCTCATCCCCACACAGAGTTTAGGGTTGCCAACAGTCCCTTATTTCTTCATCTCCGTACAGCAAAATTGGGAGTTGCTGAGTGCTGCAAAAACAGCAAGAAATCGTCCTAGGGAATGTAGGTGAGTACCGGTTATTAATTCTTAACAATAATATCGGGAGGTGGGGTGAGGGTGCTAAGAAAACAGTCCCTTATTTTTGAAATACGTTGGCAATCCTTGCCCATAGAGAGACTGAGGTAAACGTGAAGGAACCCCTGAGCTCAGTCCTCTCTGCATAGTGTGAGTCCTGCTCATGCACGGCTGGGAGGGAAAGTCGAGGTGGGCAGGTACCGGATGAAGTGAGTCGGGGAGGGACTGAGATCCTTTTGTTGCTTGGTTCAGCTGGGGAACTGCATACAGACAGAAATTCCCCTACTACAGTGGGACAAATCCCCCCCTTATAACAACATTAAATACAAATGTTTATTTGCAAGCTCAATTGAACTCAAAGTAGTGAGATCATGGTAACTAAGAACTATGGTTTCAGTACTACAGGTCATGAGAGGCAAAGGTTTTAATAAGATGCTAACAACTCATTTATTTCTCACTGATTTTCTCTTTTTGTAGATGGGGAAAATATTTAGAGATTCCCTTCTTTGCTCCATTAGTTATTTTCTGCTGGAAGAGCTGTTGCAGCCCCAACGTTAGCTGCTTCTGTTGGGTCAGATAATCTGTGGTCTCTTGATTTATACGTAATCTAGTATTTAAAAGACATCTTTAAATTCCCTCCCCCTACTCCCACATGCTAGCAATATTCATTCCCCATTCCAAAAGCTTAAAAAGCTAAAAAAGTAACTTAATATGATTAGGTGATGATTCTGGGCAGCTGCACTACAAACTTTCGTGTTGGTGTACTTTACTGTTAAACACTTCAGTTTTTAGTATTAAAATGATTTATGGCACACACTCAGGATTTTTACGTTTTGCCTTTCTTGCATTTTTCTGGCTGAAATTGAAAAAAGTTATTTTATCACCTTCTGTTCTGCTTTCTCCTTAACAAAGGCACTGTTAGATCTGGATTCTGCACAGGATTCAGAGGAAAGAAATGCATCCAACGTCCTCGGCTGGAAGATGTCTTGTAATTACATTTCATGAAGCCTGATCAAGATCATGGGGTGCCACAAGCTCCTGTTTATTTCCAGACATGATAAAAAGTGTTGCAGTATTTTCCCCAGTGAAAAGTTTAATAAAAAAATAATCTTCAGGAATCCACACGAATCGTGTCAAATGTGTCTGGTAGCATTTCCTAGTCTCCATACTTTAGTTTATTCCTTTAAATTCAATCACTTTTTTGTGCTGCATAAGAAGAGAATTTAATAATCAAACTAGCTGTACTGCTCTCCTCTGACAATTTTTGGGCAGGCAGTTGTTTTTAGACAACAGGGATTAACATTTGAAAACTTTACCTGCCACTGTAGCATGTAATGTTTGAATTAGCTGCTCCATTAACCTAGTTACAGATCCAGAAGCAAACAGCAATTTGACTCAAATCCCATTGGCAACAGTGTTCAGCCATTGCTTCCTCCCATCTACTATGCGATATTTTTCTTCGGGATTTAATATTACAACAGAAATACACCATCATAAAATAGGTTTGCCACCCTACAGATTGGGCATATGGTTCTAGTTTCTCATTCTCTCCTTACATCATTTCCTCCACTTGCTCTTTGAAAGGGAAAGATTTTGATGTCACAGTTAAGTCCCTCTCCTCTAAGGTGTTCATTTTGATTTCTCCTATGTCACCCACTTTAAGGTCTTCCTATTCCCTTTCCCCTTTTTCTCTACAATGCACAAAGAATGAGGGGGCATGGAACAATAAAGGTGGAGAGAAAGAGCCAAGAAAAAAAAAAAAAGAGGTACTTGGTGTAGTAGAGTCCTGTTGAGCAAATGCTTAAATAAGTTACTCCAAAACACCTAACTAACAGGCATTTAGAGCTTTGAATACCCAGTTCAGATACATAGCTTTTTGTCAAGTTGTTACAGGGCAAAGAATAATTTTCAAAAACATCAGAAGCAACACAGATTCAAATGGTTATTACAGGTTATTATCTTACTATCAAGAAACTGGACAGATAAAAGGAATTTTACAATGTTTTACCTTAATGCTCTCCTTCTTTGGAGTAGTTTTGCGGTTTTAAATCTGACTGAATTCTCTTTGTCAAAATCTATGAGAAAAGAAAAACACAGTAAAGAGGCCGTGTATTAATATTTAACATTTAAATGGCTGTATCATTATCTCAACTCTTTGATGTTGGAAATGGTAGTGTCTTAGATTCTATAGTTGAATGAATATGTACAACTGCATGCCTAAAATGGTGCCAACTTAAAGTCTTGAGAAAAAGTACAGAGACCATATGTTCCAATAAGTTTTTAATATTCTTTGTGAAAACTAAATATATATGGTTCAAGTGGTTTAAACACAAGAGACTGAGCCAGGAACTACTAAATTCTAACCCTGACTCTGGCTGCATCTTCCTCTGTGACCTTGGGCAAGTTACTTAAGCTCTTTGCCTCAGTTTCCCTGATTGTAGAATGGACCTATTTACCTGCTTACAGGGGAGTATTGAGTTTAAGGTTTATAAAGTACTTTGAAGAGGAAAAGGGTTACAAAAACGTATTGTAACAAACATGGGTTGGACCCTAGCGTTATTATAAAAACTGCACATTCACTGCAAAAGTCAGACATACGTAAGTAAATGTTTGGTGGAGCAATATATTCTGATGTCAGTGGCAAACATTAGTAAAGGTTCCCCTAGTATCTGGCAAAAACCAAATCTTCCTGAATAAACTGGAAATATGTTTAGTCATTTCCATCCTTGGGTCTTGTTCACAGTGGGTGTAAAGGTGTGTTAGATACAATCCCATTTAAACATTTATAGCGGGCAGGGTTCTAGCACAGAACCCCTAATATTGACGAACGATACTATGCACTAGGGAGGTAAGCAGTCAATAGTGCAGTAAGGTTAGGAGACTGAGAAACAACCCGATCAGGGAAGTTGTGCTAGAAACCAGCTAGCAGCTATTTAAACACAGATGAAGCTACCATGATTTGCTCCTAGTGGGGAAACAGCCTTCGGTCCCATCTGCACTGAAGTGAGTTGTCTCAGGGGACCAAGATACAGAATGGTTGTTCCTTGACATAACTGAGGGATTGTTGCATCTTGCAATGTAGACTGATACATGACCAACACTTTAACATGATTCAAGGACATGGTTAAAAGCTGGTATGTGCCATCTACACTGAGATGGTACTGTGGTGTAACCATGTTGAGGGACAACAGGTTTATAACCAGTACCCGACACAGCTATTTATAATCTTGATGGAACCTATGATGTAACCAAGGGATACTGGTAGAATAATGGTGTAATTAGGTTTAATGTAGCTGGTTACCAAGAGCTACATTGTCAACGGGTCTCATGTCTGTACAACCTTTAAAAATTTGCTCGCTCATTCTCTCTTCCCACGCCTCAGAGATACATAGATTTAAATGGAGACTATTTAAATAGGATTATAAAAAGGCTAGAAAATATGTAAACCAATGACCTTTTTCTAGAATACTGGAATACACTGAAACAATTCAATATTTAAAGCAATCTTGTTAACAAGTAAACAGCATCCTTCTAGTTTATATAGGCATTATCATCTTTCCTGTTTTTTTGTTGGCATTTTGTTTCTCTTTCCAACTAACTACATGGAAAATAAAGCTCATTAATCATACAGCAGAGACATTTTGTAAGACCAGCTACAAAGTGTTATAAGCAAAGATTTACGAATGGTTTACTAATCATTACACTAATAATTAAAAAAAAATATTCCATAAACATTTTCTAGAAAGGCCAGATTTATAATACTGTAAAAGCACAGCAGATAAAAATTCTCCACAAAAAAACCAACACAGTATGAGTTTGGTTAATCAAAACCAGGCATGCATAAAATTTATAACCATTCAAATAGTATATAACCCATCTTATACTATTTGGTACAAAAACAGCTGTCCACTACAAAAAACACATGTAGGCCACAGAAAAATTCCTCCCCACCGCAGCCAAAAAAGGGAGAGAGCAGCTTTCATCATCTGAAATTTGAAGAAGGGGGAAGGGGCAGTGGCTCGCAGAGGGGCATAGATTCATAGACTCTAGGACTGGAAGGGACCTCGAGAGGTCATCGAGTCCAGTCCCCTGCCCTCATGGCATGACGGACTCTGTTACCCATGAAACACGTTTAACAACATTTAACATTTTTAAATTGCTGTGCACTTTATAGGGCAAATTCATCTGCTCCCACAAAAACTTGTTTCTGGTATACAGCTATATTTTATGGGTCCCCTTGCCATGATTCGTTCACATGTTGAAGACTTGTTACAGTGTAATAAAAGTAACTTACTGTCACAATCTACTAAACCTTAAAATTTAGTTAATAAAAACATTGAAAGAATGGCAAAAAAGGCTCCTTTCAGGAGAACTTAACAGGTCCACAGAACAATCATTTTAAGGTGGCTCTATTTCAATGGTTAACCTAAAAACATACACAGTCCAGTATGCTAAAGAGAAATCACTGCAAATGTAACAATATTGTGTTCCCTCAACAGTGACAAGAAGATTATAAACACACTTATAATCCTATCAGAAATAATTTTAAGTATTTGTATTTACAATTCAGAGTATGTTTACTTCAGTGTTAAATTATGAACTTGCTTGTGAGTTTAACCATTCAATATATTTCCACTCAATCTACAAAATAGTGGTTAAAAACAAAAGCAGTTAAAATATAAGCAGTTAGAATATTAATTTAGGAAACCTGGACATTCCATTGTTACTCAGTACATTTAAAGGCCTTAATTCAACTGCAAGCTAAGCTAATTAGAAGATCCATCTAATCGGATTTTTGAAAAGTGACCTTTGAGGAAATTATAAAATAGACTAGATGCCAAACTAATTACTAAAGTACCAAATGCTTCTATGTAAGGACAAATAGTATGCATATACATTTAAAAAAAAAAAGGGGGGGGGGGGGGGGGGGAGGGGGAGAAATCAATTGCATTCTTCTCTATCCACTTTGAACTCTTACCTTGCTCCTCAGAGTATTTAACATTTCCCAAATAGCTGGAGATCCAAGGATTTCTGAACATGGTTGCACAAACAAAGGATTCAGCAATGAGAAACTACAATGGGAGCTAATTCTCAGCCAGCCACAGCCCTAGGCCCGTCTAAGCAATACTGTGTAGAGATTTTTCATAGCACAGGACTGAAGCTGTCAGGCTATCGCGTCCCAGGGAGTACAGTAAATGCATAGCAATAGGCTGCAAAGTAGAGCAGCTCAAGCCCAGTAATCAGATTACAAGCAGAAATTAGGCACATGAATGCTAAAACAAATTGGACAATGGTGATTGGGAGCTTTATAATATTACTACTTCAAAGCTCTAGCCAAATCACAAATTATATTCTAGCAAGAAGATATTGCAGAAACCCAATATTCTTTACAGGAAAATAAATTTCTCTCCAAGAGGAGTAATTCCTTCTTATCTCTAATCAGAATAAACTGCAAAGAATGCTTAAACACAAAGTAAAGCACAGCAACTGGGCTGTCAGAAGACTGACTTTTAATCATATCATTATGCTTAACATTTTGCCCATTCGATAGGCCAAAAAGGAATGTTTAAGCAGCGAAGATTTATGGGTAACATATGAACAAAATTACTGGTGGGAGAAGGGGAGTTAAGAACAGATACCCAGACACTTATTTTAATTTGAGACAGAAGGTGTAGAACTGTAAGACAATTTATCTAATAAGTACAGCATAGCTGCCACATTTATCTTAAACTAGATTTTATAGGTTTTGGATTCATTGTGGACTTCAATAATGAGAATTTCAGGATCCTTTATATTCCATTCTAAAAATCTGGAAGCACTTCTTCAGAAGGGTGCAATAACTGTTTTACAAAGCAGACCTGTTGGATCATCTCAGGAGTAAAATGAAGTAACCAACCAACGAGGTGTTAAAAATGGCTGTGACAAAAATTCACACACACAAACCCAAAACAGCCAAAGGCAATTATTGAATAACTAGTACTCTCCTTCCCCCCTCCTCCTCCACTCAGAACCACTTAAATGATTAAATACCAATGGAAGACTAAATAGCAGTCAGGAATGTTAGACTTACAAAATGTTAGTTTATGGGTGTGCAGGCGTAGAGCCACTGCCTACTTAGACTGTATGTTCCTTGGGGCAGGAACTGTGCTAAATTATGTACCTGCATGGTGTCTAGTACAATGGAGACCTAATCCATCATAGGGGTCTCTATACACTACCACAATACAAACTTAGGAAAGATGCTATTTTGGATTTAACGTTAGGAGACAGCTAAGTTCAAATATATGGTCCAGTCAAAAGAAAATAAAATGTTAATTTCAGCCAGTTTACCAGGAAGCAGTATGTATGCCTGCCAGGTTGTTTGAAGTGGTTTGCTTTTATTTTCTTTGGTGTTTATGAGTAATTTCTGACTCAATTCGGGGTGTGGGGGGGACACTATTACTTCTTCCAGTTTTTTTAAACAGCCTGTAGCATGTTTAATACAGAAGACAGGATCTGAGTTCCAGAAGTATAGCCAGACATCTCCTGGTTACCAGGTCTACTTGTTGCAATTTTGGGGGGACAGTGGGGTGGGGAGGGAGGTTATGGCCATTATCTCTAAAATGGACCCACCTTCTTTGTGATGGGCCCAAATGCCTAATCCCTATAAGCTGAAGGCATCTTGTACTCCTTCACTCACCTTCTATGTAAGGGCACGTCTTCACTACCCGCCGGATCGGCGGGTAGCAATCGATCTATTGGGGATCGACTTATCGCGTCTAGTGAAGACGCGATAAAATCGATCCCTGATCGCTCTGCCGTCGACTCCGGAAAGCCACCGCGGCAAGAAGCGGAAGCGGAGTTGACGGCGGTACAGCAGCGGTCGACTCGCCGCCGTCCTCACAGCCAGGTAAGTCGACCTAATACACGCAACTTCAGCTATGCTATTCACTTAGTTGAAGTTGCGTATCTTAGGTCGCCCCCCCCCCCCCCGTAGTGTAGACCTAGCCTTAGTCTCCTCTAGGACTTTAGCCATCATCTTGCTTGTGATAGAGATACAATGAGCAAGAAAAAAGTATATGTAGTCTTGGAAGGA